ACGTGCATCCAAGAGACCACTGCCTCTTAGGTCGGTCCATCAAATGTCGCACAGCGATCCAGTGCTTCGCACCGAGACGGTCCCTGTAGTAGCGTCCCGCACCAGCCCAGCCAACATGCACCAGCATGAGGCAGGACATGTCAAACGCAGACAACCTGTACAGCCCTCGTCCACAAGCCTCCGGGCGTCCATGACCTTCCAGCTCAATCCCAAACGTCTCCGCCCACGAGACCAGCGCACCTGTCAAGCTCCGCTCCAACCGTCCCAGGTCTACACTCTGGAGATCCGCACGCAGCTCCTCTCGCACCTCCCGTGCCAACCTCATCCAGCAGCTCTCCATCATCTCGCTGCTTCTTCCCGGGCCCGACAACAGGGCCACGGGTACACTCCTCACATGAGGAAAATACATTCGCTCCGGTGCCCCCCTCCGCTGTAGGCACTGCTCCTCCGGAGAAAGAAGGAAAGAAGAAGAAAGAAAATGCAACCGATCCTCCTGTTGTTGAGTCCCTCCTATCGCTCCACTGTGTTTCTCTCCGAGGAAAAAGAGGAAGAGAAATGAAATCCTTTGCCTTCTCTTGGGAAGGGTGCACACCCTTCCTTTGTACTTTCCATGTGGGAGAAAGTGTGCCCACTTTCATCCCTTTTCGGTAACGGAACTGGGCCACCAGGCCCCGTTCCTATAGGTCAGCCAGTCGGGGTCCAAGGACCCACTCTGTCAACGGTCAACGCCCATCTTACAAGTGAATCATACAGAGCTCGCACCAAATGCTCGCTAGATGGGCGTTCTGATTCGTCCAAAGGCCAAATTATTCCCTGTCGTATCCACTTTGGTCAACGAACTTCGTTGACGACGACCCCTTGGCTCGCCGTCGCCTCGTCCGTCTGTTGGTCACGCGCCATGCCACCTTCGGCGTCAGCCACGCTCCCAGCTTCCAGCGTTGTTGTTGCATAGCCATGGTGTTTCTACTAGTAGTAACAATATGATTTCATCATTGCTCTTCGAGGTGAGCGCCAGGGTCCTGCGGACCACGGCACAGGGGGCTTCCCCCTGTAACCCCCTTCTTTCCGGAATAGAAGTACCTCTTTTTGACAGCATGCAGTCAAAGTAATAAAGGCATGCTCTAGGGCACGCATCTTTGCACAAGTGAGGCTCCACTTCTACAGCATTTCACGCATCTCACGATACTTTCTGGTGTTTTCCACACTGCACAGGTTACTTGTTCCACATATTGCCATTCGTCCCCTCATGGGTTCACTCTCATTCTTACTCATCGTCCCATGTTCAACTTCGCACCACAGTGCGACACAGCCTACGCTACCGAGCACATACTCCAGCAAGGATGCAGCCTCAACTGCAGAGGGTCACCAAGACCTGGAAAAAGAAGACACGTCCCGGGTATGCCACACATCCATGCACCACCGGCACACCCAAAGCTCACCCACGCTCGCAATAGATGCAACACCTCCCTCGTCCACACCGAGGACTCGGACGCAGCACCAACCCCTGGTTGATTCTGCCAGTAGTCATATGCTTGTCTCAAAGATTAAGCCATGCATGTCTAAGTATAAGCAATTATACAGCGAAACTGCGAATGGCTCATTACATCAGTTATCGTTTATTTGATAGTACCTTACTACTTGGATAACCGTGGTAATTCTAGAGCTAATACATGCTAAAAACCCCGACTCACGAAGGGGTGTATTCTCCAAGGCCTCCTGCCATCCAATGATTAGCTCGTGCCAGCATATGTAATGCCTGTCATCCACCGCTGCTCTCTTACCATCGCCAAAGGTCCTCCCAGGTAGGACCGCTCGTGCCACATGTGAACGCCTCTCGTCCCCATCGCTAGTGATCATGCCGCTCCACGCAAGGAATCAACGCTTCCACCGGAATCTCCTCGTCTGCCGACTCATCCTGTGCTTCCACCAGCCCCTCCGGCGCAACCATGACCTCGGCTCCCCTCGTAGTAGACTGTCGCCCTTTCCCCTCCCGGGATCGCACCGCCCCGCGTGCCTGGAAATACGCTCGTCGCCCCGCCGACTACAACGTTAGCCACTGCCGTGACCACTTCCTGACGGCCTCCGCCAACATCCGCCCCACGAGGTCGGATAGTCAAGGTAAGACCTACTCGAATCTTCGGCCCCTCCTTCCCAGTCGTGCTCCCTACGGAAGACATCGTTCCACAGCCTCGCCCTGCAACTAGCAAGTATCACTCCGTCACGTCAGCCTCCGTCCGACAACGACTACTATCTCGGCATCCTGCCATCTCACAGCGCTGCAACGCACCCCCGTGCACTGCATCCATCCAGGACGTTCACCTCCGGCAAACACATACCAACGTATCCTACCGCTCCCGCAACACCTCACTCCGTTCTTATCGCCCCGCTGCTGTTTTCCGCCGGAAAATGAAAAGAAGGAAGAAGAGAAATCCTTTGCTCTCTCCTGGGGAGGGCCTCAGCCCTCCCTTATGTAAATCCATGTGGGTCTCTGGTTTGCCCACCAGAGCCCTAAAAGGGTAACCAGACTGGGCCAGCAGGCCCAGTTCTGATTGGAAGGTAAGCGGGGGGTCAGGACCCACCCGCGTCAACGGTCAACGCCCATCTTACAAGTGAATCATACAGAGCTCGCACCAAATGCTCGCTAGATGGGCGTTCTGATTCGCTCAAATCGCGAAATATTCCCTGTCGTATCCACTTTGGTCAACGAACTTCGTTGACGACGACCCCTTGGCTCGCCGTCGCCTCGTCCGTCTGTTGGTCACGCGCCATGCCACCTTCGGCGTCAGCCACGCTCCCAGCTTCCAGCGTTGTTGTTGTTATAGCCATATGTTCTACTAGTAGTAACAGCATTCATTCTTCATGTCTCTTCGAGTTATTCGCCACGGCTGCTGCGCAGCTAGTGGCACAGGGCTGCCGCCCCGTACCCCGCGGTTCCGGAAAGGAAGTACCTCTTTTTAACATTCGAGGTGGTACCCTTGGGGTAACAGCATGCTTGAACGCACGCATCTTCTAGGGTTTTGAAGCTACTCCACAGTAGCGTTTATCGGATCTCACGATGTTGTTTGGTGTTCTCCACACACTTCATTCACGCTGCTCATTGTTGTTCCACTTCTTCATTTCATTCATCGTTCAAGTTCATTTCATTGCATCCTACTAGTTCTACCGGTTCCCACAGCTCACATGGTTTATCCAAGATGCTGTCGCATCACGAGGTATCAAGACCATGCTTCATGCGTGCAAGCCCGGTCCCAGCACACACCATCCTGCTTACCGACCACTCCGTGCAGTGGAGATCACCCAAAGTCGTCCCGCCTACCGGTCAAGACAACCCATCCTGTGAATAAGGCGCACTCACGCGCTCCTGCAACTGGTCCGCCATCCGCATGATGTCGCTAGAAGCTAGAAGAGCTGCCACCAGGGTCAAGGTGGCTACCGCGTACTGAAAACTCAGAATCACCCACTGCCGCTCTGTGCAGTGCTGCTCAAACAAGTGCTCCGGACTAGGCAACAAGATCACATCACCCGACTGCCGTCGGACGGGGTACAGCGTGCACCGCAAGCAAGTCCCGAACCTGCGTACTAACCTCTCGTCCTGGTCCGAAATCGAGACGGTTTCTTTCCTGCCCCCCTCCTGGTAGCAGCGCAAAGCGTAGGACCATCTCCCCAGCGATTCCAGCTCCGCCCAGGTATACTCCACCACGGATCCTACCTCTCTCACCTCCCTTCCTCTCCACTCCAGAGTCAACTGACAGGCATCCGCCCACTGCGTCAAAGCAGAAACCAGCCTCCGCTCCACCTGCGGAATGTCCACGCGCACCCCGTCATCCCAACGCGTCTGCACCAGTAGTAAGCGCAACGCTGCTAGCAAGAGGCCCTCCACATGGCCTCTCTTCTCTCCCTCTCCGCGGATCTCAATCAGCCTGCCGATCATCACAGCCGGCACAAACAAAAAGTAGCCCACCGGCCTCCTACCATTCTCCCCCTCCCGGGCTAGGTCTCCGCTCTCCATCATACTCACTCCGTCCCAGTAGCAGCCAGCTACCTCACACTGAACCTCAGTTCCTCTCTCCTCCCGTACGAGACCTGCGTGCAACAGCGCACGCGAAGCACCAGATCACACGACCCAAGGTCAAATGGCTCACGCCCACCTCTCGTTCCTCGTTCAGCGATGCACTGGGTGCATCCGCCCTCCGTGTTTTCCGAAAGAAAAGAAAGAAAGGACAACCGTCCCTGTGTTGTGTTCGTCCCGAGTATCGCTCCGCTGGAATTCCCGCAGGGAATGAAAGAGGAAGAAGAATTGTCGCCCCCCGCCAACTTCTGGGAGGGCACCAGCCCTCCCTTATGTATCTTCGAAAGTGGGAACCAACTGACCCAGTTGGTGTCCCAAAAGGGTAACGGATTGTGGCCAGCAGGCCACATCCTCATAGGTCAAACAGGTAGGTCCGAAGGACCCACTCTGTCAACGGTCAACGCCCATCTTACAAGTGAATCATACAGAGCTCGCACCAAATGCTCGCTAGATGGGCGTTCTGATTCGTCCAAAGGCCAAATTATTCCCTGTCGTATCCACTTTGGTCAACGAACTTCGTTGACGACGACCCCTTGGCTCGCCGTCGCCTCGTCCGTCTGTTGGTCACGCGCCATGCCACCTTCGGCGTCAGCCACGCTCCCAGCTTCCAGCGTTGTTGTTGTTATAGCCATATGTTCTACTAGTAGTAACAGCATTCATTCTTCATGTCTCTTCGAGTTATTCGCCACGGCTGCTGCGCAGCTAGTGGCACAGGGCTGCCGCCCCGTACCCCGCGGTTCCGGAAAAGAAGTACCTCTTTTTAAGGAATTTAGTGGTACCAGACCACCAGCATGCTTGAGCTTACACGCATCGGCCCACATGAGGCTGTACTCTCGTACTGTTTCACGCATCTCACGATTCTTTCTGGTGGTTTGTTCTACCACCACACATCTCATTTCATTCAGTCATTCATTCACTCCGCTCATTTGTTGTTCCACCCTGTTTGTTCCAAGGTGCATTCATTTCATTGTTTGTTCACTGAACTGGTTATTCATTCACTCCGTTCGTTTCAATCATACATGACTCTATACGCTCCATCACACGGCTGGTCTGATGCACTGCTTCCTGCAGACACCCCGTCTACACCACACGACCGAGAGACCTCCGCAAGGTCTACCACGCCTCTGAAGTGAGCCGCCAGCACTGGCTGGTCAGGGGGAAGACACCAGCGTCTCGCTACGCTCCGAGCGATCATCGGCCTCACGGCCCTGCATGGACTCCTGCTCCGAAGAGGAATCCTCCCAAAGATCAGTCCCCTCCAAGACATAGCCAGACAGCTGGCCCTCACGCATACTGTCCGTCTCCTCCGAGATCGTAAACACAGCCCGAGGCTGACAGGCAAAAAAGTGCTCGTCCCTCCTCCCATGACTCATCCAGAGCTGCGAGCCATCTCGCTCTACCACACGGCCGTGTCCGACCGTGATGAAGGGGAAAGGCACCACCAACCTGTTGCCAAACAGACAGACACACTCCAGCGTGTTTCGACTCATACATACCTGGCAGTCCACCAGACGCGACTCCCCTACAGGGTACTCGGCTACCTGCACGCAGAACCCATCTTGCCCCTCCCTCGTCGGCGGCCGGAAAAGAGTGCTCACACCACCACGCACTCCCTTGCTCACGACCGGCGTCACGTTCGCATAACCCTGCGAGTCCACAAAGTAAGTCACAAGAGCTGCTCGACCAGCTCGATCTCGTTCCTCGTCCGGGACCAAAATCGTCATCGTCCTCCCTGCCGACGCAGAGGGCAGGCACACCCGGCCCGCCACAGATCCTGCAATACAAGACCCCGTCTCACCAAGTAAGCGACGCAGCGCACGCCCACTCCCTGGCGCTATGAACCCCGACGCCTCCAGCGCCTCATCTACCGGCGGACGAGAGTCCACCACAAACGTCTTCAGTCCCAGCATCGACGTACCTAGGCAGAACCCATCCTGCCCTTCCTTGCACTCCGCGCATCGCAAGCCGGGAAGACACGCTTCCCATAGTGCCCTCTCCATCCTGGTTCGAAGAAAGAAAAGAAGAAAGAAAGAACAACCTTCCTCCGTCTTTGTTGTGCCACTCCGTTGTTGTCGCGTCCGCTGTCGTTCCCCCGGGAATGAAAGAGGAAGAGAAAAGAAACTCCCTTTGCTTTCTCTGGGGAGGGCTCCCGCCCTCCTTTGTAGTTTGCCATGTGGGAGAAAGTGGCCCACTTTCGTCCCTTTTAGGTAACAGATATGGGCCAGCAGGCCCATCTCTGATAGGGTAGCAAGAGATGGAGCGAGGCTCCACTCTGTCAACGGTCAACGCCCATCTTACAAGTGAATCATACAGAGCTCGCACCAAATGCTCGCTAGATGGGCGTTCTGATTCGCTCAAATCGCGAAATATTCCCTGTCGTATCCACTTTGGTCAACGAACTTCGTTGACGACGACCCCTTGGCTCGCCGTCGCCTCGTCCGTCTGTTGGTCACGCGCCATGCCACCTTCGGCGTCAGCCACGCTCCCACACTCTGTGTTTGTTGTTGCATAGCCATGGTTTCTCTCTGTGAGTAGAAAATATGATTTCATCATTCACTCTCGTAGTTATTCGCCACGTCGCTACGCTCGTGTGGCACAGGGCTGCCGCCCCGTACCCCGCCGATCCGGAACTCTAGCCATCTTTTCTGACAGCATGCGGATTAAGTAATAAAAGCATGTTTTAGGACATGCATCTCGCACAGCTTATGTGAAGTCAGCCACACACAGTGTTTCTCTAATCTCACGATTCTTCTTGGTGTTTCGCTCCAACACCATTTGATTGTTCCACACATCATTGCACTGCACTATCTGTTCATTTCATCTCACTCATGCTACCACGTCTACGACGGCTTGTAGGAGAACCCACAAACTGTTCTACATCATCGACAATCATCTCATCCTGTATCGCACGCTCCAGGGTCGCAAACGACGGCTCCTCCTCAAAGAGACACACGCATCTCCCCTGCCGTAACACGTCCCGCGTGCACTCGCGTACCAAGGCGGGGACAACCTCATCACCTCGGCGCAAATTCAGCCACAATGCTCGCGCCACCAGAGGAAAAGGCTGGACAATCCTGTCCGCGAAGACACACTCCGCAGCCCTCATATCCGTGCACTGCCGTATCCAATAGCCGACGAGATCCTCCTCATCTACCACGACCAGCTTGAACCCAAGCTTGGGACATTCTACATCCTCACGGCTAGGCCGTCCTGTGCGCAGCACATACTGCAAACGACGCACCCGCCCGGGCTGCTCCTCCAGGTCCTGCATCTCTTGACAACCCAACCTCGACGTCAGGGTGTGTATCAGGTGGCCAACATTGGTCCCACCACTGCACGGCTCAAAAGCCGCCTGCCAAGTCATAAGAATCGTGAGGAACTCCTCCCTCCTGCTCTGTCTCTCGCCGCAGTCGAACAGGCCGGCTACACAGCCACGTGTACCGTCCAACGCACTAAGAAAAGATCGGACATCCTCCTTCTCCATGAGCCCTGTCTCCGCCAGCCACTCCTCCACACAGGAGTAATAGTATCCAGCCTTCGTATACCTGTCACTAACGTCCAGCAGCCTCTGCATGTCCCCCACCGGGTCATCTTCCTGGGTATCCTCACCCAAGCGCCGCAACTCGTAAGCGACGCACTGTCGCCTAGCTCTCACCTCCGCATCCCATGCGACATCACTCACAACAGAGACATCCTCCTCCGATGCTGTCCTCATCTCTTCCAGCGGCCCCACGCCGGTCTCAGGCTCCTCCGTCCCATCTAACAGTCCTTCCTCCCAGGACGAGGAAGACGAAGAGGACCGAACACGCTCCTCCTCTCTGCTGCCCTGCATCATTGCAGACACCTCTTCGAGGATGCACACGTACTCCGTCTCCCCTTCTGCCGAAGGACAAGAAAAGGAAAATGAAAGGACAACGATCCTCTTGTTGTCGCACTCCGTAGTGTCGCTCTGCTTGCTGTTTTTCCGCCCGAAAAATAAAAAAGGAGGGAAGAATGAGCTCCGCTGCCTCTCCCTGGGGAGGGTGCACACCCTCCCTTTGTAGTTTGCCAAGTAGGCAGCAACTGACCCAGTTGCATGCCCAAAAGAGTAACGAAACTGGGCCACCAGCCCCGTTTCTGATAGGTGGAGCGGTAGGGTCCAGGGACCCACCCGCGTCAACGGTCAACGCCCATCTTACAAGTGAATCATACAGAGCTCGCACCAAATGCTCGCTAGATGGGCGTTCTGATTCGTCCAAAGGCCAAATTATTCCCTGTCGTATCCACTTTGGTCAACGAACTTCGTTGACGACGACCCCTTGGCTCGCCGTCGCCTCGTCCGTCTGTTGGTCACGCGCCATGCCACCTTCGGCGTCAGCCACGCTCCCAGCTTCCAGCGTTGTTGTTGTTATAGCCATATGTTCTACTAGTAGTAACAGCATTCATTCTTCATGTCTCTTCGAGTTATTCGCCACGGCTGCTGCGCAGCTAGTGGCACAGGGCTGCCGCCCCGTACCCCGCGGTTCCGGAAAAGAAGTACCTCTTTTTAAGGAATTTATCTGCACAAGCAGGGTAAAAGCATGTCTTAGGACACGCATCTTGGTGGTTTGAAGCTACTCCACAGTAGCGGTTTACACATCTCACGATACTTCTTGGTGGTTACCCCACTCTGTTGGTTCAATCATGCACGCTGTTCATGTCACACTCATCACTTGACTCCATCAACTGAAAACGATTCCTATCACACGGCTACTCGCATTGTTCTACAAGTTCCACTCCTCGGCTACGCATCCCGTCCCTACGAAAGCCCATCGCAAACGATGCAAGGTGCTCCAACACCATAGCCTAATCCTGGGGACAGCGGCGCGAACAGCAACTGCGACGGAAGAGTGCCCACACTACAGAGACTACCCTCTGCATCTCTCTCAGGGAAGGCGAGCCTCACCTAGGCACGACAGAGAAGCGTGCGAAACTGCACACATGACTTCGCCCAGAAAGACGATACCCCGTCAGGCCTCCACGGCCGTACATACCGCACCAAAGAGGTTCCCACCACAGCGACTCCGCGCCCTCACGCACATCCACGCGAGAAGATCAACACTCTATCTCCATAGCAGAGCATGAGCTCAAAGCTGCAGCTGTCGCACTCCCTGTCCACAGCTTTCAAAGCCATCTCGTTAATCTGCTCTACCACGCCCCCAACCAGGGGGTCACCAGATGCCCTGCGCTTCCTCGCACCCTGCGGCACAAAACGACTCAAGTCCTCGCCCTGGTACCGTATCCCACTCCACGAGCGACCAGAAAGTTCAGGCTGTCCCGCAATACAGGTGGCCCACCACAACTCCGGTGCACCGCAACAAGCCAGCGCGTACACACACAAATCAGTCGCCTCCTCCTTCCCGTTGTCGAGCACCAAGGTCCCCCGAAGCTCCAACACGGTCTCCGCCCTCCGCGCACCACTCGCGCTCCCTTCCTCACACGCTTCCTGCGCTCATCAGTACTTGCTACCTCCCGCACGCTAGCACCGCCTGGACATCATCATAACCCGTCCCGGACACTCACAAGCTCCTCGCACGCCCAACAGGCGTCCACCGCCTCTGTACCATCGCCCGTCATTGCCATTCCGTCAACAGGTTCTCTGCCGCCCTCGGTCCCTGCCTCGTCCAGCGACATAGCATCTGCATGCTCATCACCAGCTCCGCCGACTTCACTGTTCCACCAGGTGACAAACGGGTCTTCCTGACCAGAGGAGGAAGCACTCCCATCCTCCGGAAACTCCTCCCACAGCCCTGTGTTCTCGTGCTCGCGCTGCATACCGCACAACTCTGTTCCTGCCGCTCCGCTGTTGTTTCTCTCCGAGGAAAAAGAAAGAAGAGAATTGCCAGTCCCTGTTCATCTCTAGAAGGGGCCGCAGCCCCTTCTCTTGTATCTTCGAAGGTGGGTACCAGTGTGCCCACTGGATACCCTTTTAGGTAGTCGGAACTGGGCCACCAGGCCCCGTTCCTATAGGTCAGCCAGTCGGGGTCCAAGGACCCACTCTGTCAACGGTCAACGCCCATCTTACAAGTGAATCATACAGAGCTCGCACCAAATGCTCGCTAGATGGGCGTTCTGATTCGCTCAAATCGCGAAATATTCCCTGTCGTATCCACTTTGGTCAACGAACTTCGTTGACGACGACCCCTTGGCTCGCCGTCGCCTCGTCCGTCTGTTGGTCACGCGCCATGCCACCTTCGGCGTCAGCCACGCTCCCAGCTTCCAGCGTTGTTGTTGCATAGCCATTATGTCTCTCTAGTAGTAGACAATATGATTTCATCATTTCACTTCCGTGTATTAAGCAGCGTCGCTACGCTCGAGCTGCACAGGGCTGCCGCCCCGTACCCCGCCGATCCGGAATCTTAGCTCTCTTTTCCGACAGCATGTGGTACCAGACTATCAGCAGTCTTTAGCTGCACGCATCTTGTGGTTTGAGGCTGCACACCCTCACTATTTTTACATCTCACGATACTCTTTGGTGTTTTGTCCACACATTTCATTCACTTCGTTTCATGCACTCTGTTCATCCTTGGTTCCACCGCTCATTCCATTCGTTACTTATCGCACCTCACTATTCATTTCGTTTAGCTGTTGTGCTCGCGCACCCACGCTGCATCCACTGCCTCACCACTTCGTCCCGTGATCATCCCATGCACGCACAGCCCTGACGGTACTAGCCAATAATGCACATACTACTCCACAGTCGTCTAGCTACCTACGCGCCCTCACGCTCCGAACATAGGAACGCCACTCGTTCTCGGGAAATGGCTCGCCCAGCAGACAACGCCATATCGGCTTCCACACCTCGACGGAATCCACCAGCACGGCATCACGCCCTTGCAACTGTCCCACAGAAGAAGCGTCTGCGACACGGAAAGCAGACAAGATCACTCGTCGATCTTGATCCTCCGCCTCACCATGAGGGTCGAGAGTCCTCTCCATAAAGGCAAAATGGCCTCCCCGTCCATCGACGTCCATGATGACCCACACCTGCACGTCCTTGGTCCAGCCCCCGCTGGTCTGTATTCTCAGGAGCGTCCACTCCGTGTAGAAGCCCACACTGCGCTCACAACCATGGCTTCGACACTGCTCCCTCTGCGCAGCGTCCAAGGGAAGGATAGCATCCATAGCAAGTGCTCCCATCTTGCGAAACAGTTCCTCCGCACCTACATCTCGCCTCCAGGCTCGACAATACTTCAGCTCCTCCTCTCCCTCCCGGGAGAAATGGACCCGCAACCGAGCGGGAACATCACGTGCATCCACCACGGGACATAGAAGAACCTCCTTCTCGTCGCCTGCCTCCAAGGCAATCAGCACCTCCGCCGCTCGCAACATCTCCCGATGAAACTCCTCTGAAAATCCTTCCCACTCACTCGAGTGAGGCAACCAGTACACATTCATTCCATTCCGCACCGGCGGTGCTACCGTGTCATGCTCTCCCGCATCGAAATCGGCCTCCGACCCGTCCGTCTCCGGTTCCTCCTCCTCCTCCGAGGATGAAGCATACGGGGGAGAACCCCCCCCGAAAGACCACTGGACCGCATCTGCTACCAGCGCTCCCCTCAGCTCGCGCAACTCTAGCGCCTCACTACCGATCGTCCGCATCTCTCCGTATCTTCCCAGGAAGAAAAGAAGAAATGAATGAACAACGATCCTCTTGTTGTCTCGTCCCTGCTGTCGCTCCGCTATCGTTTCCCCCGGGGAAATGAAGAGGAAGAAAGAGAGATCCTCTGCTCCTTCTGGGAAGGGTGCACACCCTTCCTTTGTACTTTCCATGTGGGAGAAAGTGTGCCCACTTTCATCCCTTTTCGGTAACGGAACTGGGCCACCAGGCCCCGTTCCTATAGGTCAGCCAGTCGGGGTCCAAGGACCCACTCTGTCAACGGTCAACGCCCATCTTACAAGTGAATCATACAGAGCTCGCACCAAATGCTCGCTAGATGGGCGTTCTGATTCGCTCAAATCGCGAAATATTCCCTGTCGTATCCACTTTGGTCAACGAACTTCGTTGACGACGACCCCTTGGCTCGCCGTCGCCTCGTCCGTCTGTTGGTCACGCGCCATGCCACCTTCGGCGTCAGCCACGCTCCCAGCTTCCAGCGTTGTTGTTGCATAGCCATTATGTCTCTCTAGTAGTAGACAATATGATTTCATCATTTCACTTCCGTGTATTAAGCAGCGTCGCTACGCTCGAGCTGCACAGGGCTGCCGCCCCGTACCCCGCGGATCCGGAACTCTAGCTCTCTTTTTAAGGAATTTATCGGTACCAGACCGAAAGCATGCTTGAAGGCACGCATCTTGGATTGAATGAAGCTGCACCACTACGCTTCTGCACACATCTCACGATCTTTTCTGGTGTTTGTTTCACTGCACACATTACATTTCATTTCAATCAGTCATTCATGCACTCCGTTCCTCTACTGGTTGTTCCACGGGTCATTCCATTCCTCCATCACATTGCATGTCTCATACGTCCATTTCATCTACTGTTCATTGCTCTACAGGTGCACACCGCGACAGGATCCATCTCCCCCGGAGAAGGAAAGCCCCACCAGGTTCCAGCGGCACTCCCACTGGTGCCTGCATGAAAAGACTGTGCCAAAGGCCAACCGGGGCGACATCGCCCGACAGGAAAACCCAAACGCCTACGCCTACGCCTATGCTGCCCAGCAGAAAAAGGAAAAGAAAAAGACGCGAGGATACTACACCCGTAGTGACGCGACGCCAGCCGCATAAGTCAGCCTCCTCCTCTTGTCCGCCACCGACCCGGTCGTGGGCAGGTGCAAATGACCAAGCACCGCCGTCAGCGTAGGACCTGCAAAACAAACTGTCAGTCCCAAACTACTACTCCCATAGGTTCAGGAGGGGGTACGCACTATCCATCGTGCTTATCGCCGACACCGTCGCCGGAAAAGACGCAATCAAGCCCCCGTCCCGGAGCGAGTAAAGCTGTCGTAGTGGCTCCTCCCTGTCCGTCACAAGCCCGTTCTGCGTGATCAATACCCGGTTCGCCTCCCTGAGTCTCTCGTCAGTCAACGCCCTGCACACATGCCTGGCTAGGGGAAACCCACACGGCCTCGCTTCGCACCTCCGCCGCACTAATCCGCTCCTCTATCGCGCTCAATCGGTTCGTAATACCCAAAAGGGTATGCTGGATGTTCTGGAACATCATCGTAGTCGTCTGTCCTTCCTGCACCGCCGGAAGGTTGTCGCACTTCAACATCTCCTGTCCCAGTCGCTGCAGGTGTAATGCCATCGCCGGGAAGTCCGGTTGCTCCGCAAGTGTGTTCGCTGTCGACATCGTGAGATCTGTTCCTCGTCCCGAGTGTGAAAACGTCAGCGTCGCCCCTCCGTGTGTCCAGTGAGGAAAAAGGGACCCAAGTCCCGTCACGCGCCCGAGCGCATCAGCAATCTCCTCCGGTTCCCCGGGCAACCAGCCCCTGCCTGCTCCACCTTGATCATCATCAAAATCATCGTCCCTCTGTTCCTTCTGCAGAAGAAAAATGAAAAAACAACTCACCTCCGTTGGTTGTATCGTCCCTGTGCTCGCCCCGCTTGGTGTTTCTCCCCGAGAAAAGAAGTAGTAGAAGGAAAGAAATCCCCTCCTTCCTTCCCCGAGGGCGACAGCCCTCTTCTCTCTTCGAATGTGGGGCCAGCGCCACAGCGCTAGGCCCTAAAGGGTAGTCGAACTGGGCCACCAGGCCCCGTTCTCATAGGTCAAACTCTCGTGGAGCAGGCTCCACTCTCGTCAACGGTCAACGCCCATCTTACAAGTGAATCATACAGAGCTCGCACCAAATGCTCGCTAGATGGGCGTTCTGATTCGCTCAAATCGCGAAATATTCCCTGTCGTATCCACTTTGGTCAACGAACTTCGTTGACGACGACCCCTTGGCTCGCCGTCGCCTCGTCCGTCTGTTGGTCACGCGCCATGCCACCTTCGGCGTCAGCCACGCTCCCAGCTTCCAGCGTTGTTGTTGCATAGCCATTATGTCTCTCTAGTAGTAGACAATATGATTTCATCATTTCACTTCCGTGTATTAAGCAGCGTCGCTACGCTCGAGCTGCACAGGGCTGCCGCCCCGTACCCCGCGGTTCCGGAATCTTAGCTCTCTTTTCCGACAGCATGCGGATTAAGTAATGTCAGCAGTCTTTAGCGACATGCATCTTGGTGGTTTTTGAAGCTACTCCAAAGTAGTGTTTAGCACATCTCGTGATACTTTCTGGTGTTTTGTTCTACTCTAACACACGACTCTACATTTCATTTCATTGCATTCCATTGCTGGTTGTTCCACACTTCACTCTGTTCATCTAGTAATCACCCTGATCTTCTGCTGATAAGTCTAGCTATCATCACTGCATCAACTGCTCTATCGCCACATGGCTCCTACACGAGGACACCGGACTACAAGCCCTGTTGTCCAAACTCTGCTGCCACCTGCAACAAAAGCCCTCCTCACGCCACGGGCACGGTGAAGAGGAAAGCCCAGGAGCAAACTCCAGTGTGTAGAACACAGAAAGCCAGCTCTGCTACCAGTTTTCAAGTCCCACCGGGACGACGCCCACGTATGGTCACCAGCAACCCCACTGAGGAGCTCCCTCCGAGGGGAAGTACCCGCGGAATGCCCGATCCGCCATCTGATACAATCTCTCGTCCCCCAGGACACGCGCAGCAGCGCACAAGACCAGCAACATAGACGCCCAGCGAACCATACCTCTCTCTCGATCGGAAGCGTGCACACGCACCATGTGTGCAACCTCGGGAGCAAGCACATTACGTGAACCTACCCGTCCCAGGGAAGCCCAACACGCCTCACACCTCTTCATCCGAAGGCAGCGCGACATCATCTCATCCATCCAGGAAGCCGTGTACCTCCAGCGCGTCGCCATTCCATGCAGTGTTATACCCAGTGCAAACACCTCCTGCCGCGAAAAGTGACCGTCGCACCGCTCCTCTTCCATGCACGCCGGATCCCCATCGTGTATCTCAACTCCGTACTTCTCACCCCACGAGAGCAAAGCTGCACCAAAGCCGCTACCCATAGCGCCTACCAGGTCCTCCGCCTGATCTTCCCCCTCCAACGGGGGAGGTGGGATAAACAAGCAATGACGAACAAGTTCATCCACTGCCTCTCTCCGAAGCACAGCATCCTCTGCCATCAGCGCAAGTCTCCCACGTGCGCCCTCCCCAAGGGCAAATAAGAGGCCAACCTTCCATGTCCTCTCCTCCTCCGGCATACTAGACTCCTCCGGCTCTGCACTGCACATCTTCGTAGTATCTCTCGTCCCTCCCCGGTCCGTGTAGCTGCACGCAGTGCATCAGTAGGCTTGGTTCTTGGCCACAAGAACATAAGAAGAAAAAAATAGGAAGCCCCCAGGCTTCCGTCTGTCCTCTCGTCCCTCCTACTCACCTGTTCGTCCGTGCCCAAGGCACTGCTCTCCTGAGGGAGAAAAGAAGAAAAGTAAAGAACAACGATCCTCCTGTTGTTGCGTCCCTCCTGCCGTGTCCACTGTTTTCCTCCAGGAATGAAGGAAAAGAAGGAAAGAACTGCTCGACCCTCCCATTCTTCGAAGGGGCACCAGCCCCTTCTCTTGTAGTTTCAAAGTCGGGTGCAGTGTGCCCACTGCAACCCTAAAAGGGTAACGGATTGTGGCCAGCAGGCCACATCCTCATAGGTCAGCCAGTCGGGGTCCAAGGACCCACTCTGTCAACGGTCAACGCCCATCTTACAAGTGAATCATACAGAGCTCGCACCAAATGCTCGCTAGATGGGCGTTCTGATTCGTCCAAAGGCCAAATTATTCCCTGTCGTATCCACTTTGGTCAACGAACTTCGTTGACGACGACCCCTTGGCTCGCCGTCGCCTCGTCCGTCTGTTGGTCACGCGCCATGCCACCTTCGGCGTCAGCCACGCTCCCACACTCTGTGTTTGTTGTTGCATATCCATGGTTTCTCTTTGCAGTAGAAAATATGATTTCATCATTTTACTCTCGTAGTTATTCGCCACGTCGCTACGCTCGTGTGGCACAGGGCTGCCGCCCCGTACCCCGCGGTTCCGGAAAGGAAGTACCTCTTTTTAACATTACTAGCGGTAATCGTAGGGTAAAAGCATGCTTACACAGCACGCATGGTCCCGGGAGAAGCGAGGCACACTTGTTGGTGCCGTCGAAGGGGGTAGGAGCTTAGGGTTAGAAAAAAGGGAGCGCCCCAGCGCGACCCAGGGCCTCTAGAAAAGTCACTGACTCGGCATGCACTCATTTCATCTCGTTCATTTATTGTTCCAGTTCATTCCATTCATGGTTGGTTCCACTGCTCACTCCGTTCATCGGATCATCCTACACTACCATACATACTCTGCCGCTTCACTACTCACGTCTGTCCACTCGACTTCAACGTCTGCGGGTGGTTCCCACGCTCGCTGCATCCCAGAACCTGGACCCCGGAAATACCGGAAAAGGGCCTCTGCCCCGGTTGCGACTGCGGCGGAGTCAAGCATACACGCTATGACCCGGATAGTGAGAAGGACACAGGCCATGCTGGCCAGGTGCCACTGCCTCTGCGTGCAGTGTGCATCGATCAAATGGTGCAGGTCCACCAACCTGCCAGAAACATCTTGCGGCGAGTGTCTCCAGCACATGGGACACAGGACAAACTGGCGCAACAAGCGGGCCACCTCCTCCCCCATCGGTTCCGCCGCTACCACAACGCGACGCTTCGCCAACTCCAAGCCTGGCATGATTTGTGCCACCGTGCACACAAGGAAGTCCCCCAGGACAGCTCCCCGATCCTCCCCGATCGAGGCCAACGGCCGACTAGCCATCGTCAGCCCATGAGCTCGCGCCCACTGAAGAAGCGACATCGACAACCACCGCTCCGCACCCGACGACGCAAGCGCACGCTCCGACACACTCATCGCTCCCACGTCATCCAACATGTCCTCCAGACACTGGACCATCGCCAAGCGAACATCGGGGTGCCCCCTCCGAATCTCTTCCAGCCTCTCCTCCGCGGCTGGAGTTAGTCCAACGAAGTACTGACCCACGACGCTCCGCCGGCACAGCTGTTCTACCTCCGTCATCTCGTCTCCTGTTGATGCACGCCAGTGCATCAGTAGGCTTGGTTCTTGGCCACAAGAACAAAGGAAGAAAAAATAGGAAGCCTCCAGGCTTCCGTCCGTACTCACCAAGAACTCCCGTTCCAGCACCTCCAAGGTGCACAGACAAGGAAGGCAGACGCCTTCCTCTACCTCCTCCTTCCTACCGGAAGTAGAGAAACACGACGATCCAGTCTCGTGAACGCTCCGCCTCTGTCGAGTAAGAAAAGAAAATGAACACCCTCCGGTCGTGTCTCAACTCCGTCCCGCCGCGCTGCTTGGTGTTTTCCCCCGGAAAAATAAAATAGAAGGGAAAGATTGTCCTGCCAGTCCAACTTCTGGGAGGGCTCCCGCCCTCCCTTTGTACTTTCAAGGTTGGTCCAAACTGACCCAGTTTGTCCCGATTAGGTAACGGATTGTGGCCAGCAGGCCACATCCTCATAGGTCAGCCAGTCGTGGAGGCAGGCTCCACTCTGTCAACGGTCAACGCCCATCTTACAAGTGAATCATACAGAGCTCGCACCAAATGCTCGCTAGATGGGCGTTCTGATTCGCTCAAATCGCGAAATATTCCCTGTCGTATCCACTTTGGTCAACGAACTTCGTTGACGACGACCCCTTGGCTCGCCGTCGCCTCGTCCGTCTGTTGGTCACGCGCCATGCCACCTTCGGCGTCAGCCACGCTCCCACACTCTGTGTTTGTTGTTGCATAGCCATGGTTTCTCTCTGTGAGTAGAAAATATGATTTCATCATTTTACTCTCGTAGTTATTCGCCACGTCGCTACGCTCGTGTGGCACAGGGCTGCCGCCCCGTACCCCGCGGTTCCGGAAAGGAAGTACCTCTTTTTAACATTACTAGCGGTAATCGTAGGGTAAAAGCATGCTTACACAGCACGCATGGTCCCGGGAGAAGCGAGGCACACTTGTTGGTGCCGTCGAAGGGGGTAGGAGCTTAGGGTTAGAAAAAAGGGAGCGCCCCAGCGCGACCCAGGGCCTCTAGAAAAGTCACTGACTCGGCATGCACTCATTTCATCTCGTTCATTTATTGTTCCAGTTCATTTGTTCATTTCATTCATTGTTTGTCTGGTTCCATCACTCTGTTCTTTTCACTCATGCTATCGCGTGATGCACTACACATGAAACTCGGCACAGCCCCCGCGTCACTCGTCTGCCACCTACACTGTTGGTAAAGACCCCGCCTGGTTCTTGGTGCACGCCATCTGCGCACCAGTAGTTGATCTGTGAAGCCAACGAAAGAGCAGCCCTGCTCCGGCCTCCACCTCAGTGGAATGAAGAATCTTGGCAACCATCCGTATGGTCATCAAAGCATAGGCCATGCTGGCCAGGTGCCACTGCCTCTGCGTGCAGTGTGCATCGAATAAGTGTCGCAGGTCCTCCAACCGGCCCACCGGGTCAGACGACGAGTGCCTCCAGCACCCAGGACAAGAGGAGCTACCGCCCCGCAGAACACCCGCGACGCGCTCACCCAGAAGATCCGCCTCCGTAACACCGCGCTGCTCCACCATCGTCATGGCCGAAAGAGTGTATGCCGCCGTGCACACAAGGAAGTCCCTGTACATAGCCTCTCGATCGAGGGGGATCGAGACACCGGGTCGACTATCCAAAGCCCACTCGTGGTCCCGCGCCCAGCGCAGAAGCGAAGTAGACAACAGCCGCTCCGCAGAAGAAGAAACGCACTCAGACCCTGGCTGAGCACATAACGCCGACACATGATCCAACATGGCCTGCAGCTCTCCGAGGACGCCCGAGCGGACAGCAGGATCCCCCTTCTCAACCTGTTCCAGACGGTCCCATACCCTCTGGGTTAGTCCAACGAAATGTCTCCCCACCTCCCGTGGCTCAGGGCTCGTCTCCTCCGCCCCTGCATCCTTCTCCCACACCATCTCCCTGGTTGTCCCTCCACGGTAGTGTTTCCCGTGGAGTAAAGGGGAAAAGAAGAGAGGAAGCCCCCAGGCTTCCGTCTGTCCTCACCAAGTCTGTCTGTTCATGCACCCCAAAGGTGCACAAACAAGGAAGGCAAACGCCTTCCTCTACCTCCTTCTCCGAAGAGAAACAAGACAATCTCCAATCCTTCCCACACATGGAGGAAGGGAAGTGCACACCCTCCGGTCGTGTGGCCAGTCCCTGCTGTCGCGCCGCGTGTTCCCCCGGGGAAAAAGGAAAGAAGAAATGAAATCCTCTGCATTCTTCCAGGAGGGCTCCCGCCCTCCCTTTGTACTTTCAAGGTTGGTCCAAAGTGGCCCACTTTGTCCCTTTTAGGTAACGGATTGTGGCCAGCAGGCCACATCCTCATAGGTCAAACAGGTAGGTCCGAAGGACCCACTCTGTCAACGGTCAACGCCCATCTTACAAGTGAATCATACAGAGCGCCCATACAAATGGTCGCGAAGATGGGCTGTGATTCGTCCAATCGACGAAATATTCCCTGTCGTATCCACTTTGGTCAACGAACTTCGTTGACGACGACCCCTTGGCTCGCCGTCGCCTCGTCCGTCTGTTGGTCACGCGCCATGCCACCTTCGGCGTCAGCCACGCTCCCACACTCTGTGTTTGTTGTTGCATATCCATGGTTTCTCTTTGCAGTAGAAAATATGATTTCATCATTTCACTTCCGTGGTTATTCGCCACGTCGCTACGCTCGTGTGGCACAGGGCTGCCGCCCCGTACCCCGCCGATCCGGAACTCTAGCCATCTTTTCTGACAGCATGCGGATTAAGTAATAAAAGCATGTTTTAGGACATGCATCTCGCACAGCTTATGTGAAGTCAGCCACACACAGTGTTTCTCTAATCTCACGATTCTTCTTGGTGGTTTCACCCACTTTACTTCATTTCATTTCATCTCAATCAATCACTCCATTCCTCTGATTGTTACACGCACTACTCTGCTCATCATCGCATCCTGCTGTTCATCTCATTTCATTTGGTTGTTTTCACAGCAACCCGGTTCATTTCTCTAGCTCTGCTACTGGTCATGTCGCATCACCACATGGTGCACACTCTACGTGACCCACCAGGACATTGTTGGATCCTCTGCCAGAGAGTCTCGACAAGACCGCGCACACGCTCGTCTCTACGCTTCCCCGCGTAGAAGGTCCCACGTATCATGCCCCTCAGGGCGAGAGAACGAAAGGTCAAGGTGCAGCAGTCCCCGCACCACAGGAAGACAAGGTGCATCACCTACCTAGCACTCGATGACGTCCCAAGACGGTCCTCCACCAGAGCCAGGACGAAGGCCGCCTTCTTCTCCACCTCCGGACATCCCAGCCACTGCCCGATCTCGGACAGCGTCAGTACAAGGAAATACAGACTAGCCTGCAACCACTGCTCCCGAGTACAGTGGTCATCAAAGAAGCGAAACGCACCAGATGGCCCTGCCAGAAGATCGTCCTTCCCAGGAGCGAGCAAAGGCGCCGAACACTCGCCGCAACCTACCATCACGCGAAGAGTCGCCCCCTCCTGCGCTACCCAAGACGCCCAGCGCCGAGAGGATTCTTCCAGACCCGTCATACGCCAGTAGGCAATGCATGCCATCATCGTCACGACGCCATTCCCATGCGTCCTCCTCCTCTGCTTCTCCACCAGCGGGCGCTCCCGCCCATCCAGCAGCACACCTCGTCGAGCCCCCCAACGACGAAGGTCTCCCGACAGCAACCGCTCCAGGTGCACCAACGCCAACTGCTTCGATGCCAGCCACAAGCTGGCCTTGTCCAGCATCGTCATCAACTCCTGCTGCGCACTGTCATCCTTTGTCTGGCGACTCAAGTCGCCTAGACGTACCAAGTCAGCCACCACCGACTTGCTCACGCACAAGAAGTAACCGTCCCGTTCTACGGAAGACGCCTCGCTGCCCGCGAACAACCAGCTCTCTCCCATCGCAGTCAGTATACCGCCCCAGGCGAATCAGCTCGCTCCCTCTCCGCCGCTACTCCGTCTCCCCAGGAAGAAAGAAAGAAAAAAGACAACCCTCCCGCTGTTGTGCACTCCGTGTCCCCGCGCTGCTCTGTTTCTCTCCGAGGAAAAAAGAAGAGAAGAAATGTCCTGCCAGTTCATTCTTCGAGGAGGGCTCCCGCCCTCCCTTTGTACTTTCAAGGTTGGTCCAAAGTGGCCCACTTTGTCCCTTTTAGGTAACGGATTGTGGCCAGCAGGCCACATCCTCATAGGTCAAACAGGTAGGTCCGAAGGACCCACTCTGTCAACGGTCAACGCCCATCTTACAAGTGAATCATACAGAGCTCGCACCAAATGCTCGCTAGATGGGCGTTCTGATTCGCTCAAATCGCGAAATATTCCCTGTCGTATCCACTTTGGTCAACGAACTTCGTTGACGACGACCCCTTGGCTCGCCGTCGCCTCGTCCGTCTGTTGGTCACGCGCCATGCCACCTTCGGCGTCAGCCACGCTCCCACACTCTGTGTTTGTTGTTGCATAGCCATGGTTTCTCTCTGTGAGTAGAAAATATGATTTCATCATTCACTCTCGTGTATTAAGCAGCGTCGCTACGCTCGAGCTGCACAGGGCTGCCGCCCCGTACCCCGCCGATCCGGAACTCTAGCCATCTTTTCTGACAGCATGCGGATTAAGTAATAAAAGCATGTTTTAGGACATGCATCTCGCACAGCTTATGTGAGGCCCACATCTTGGTGGGGTTACTGCATCTCACGATGTTTCTTGGTGTTTTGCTCCAACACACTCACTCCATTTCATCTCATTCAATCATTCATCCCACTGATTTAAGTGTTCCACTGATCACTCCGCTCTTCGCTATTCCCCAAGTCCATTTCACTCATATTCAATTACTCCACTAGTCACCCAACTCATTCCACTCTCACAATGCTACACGCATACCGCACATCCTATTCTGCTAGCTACATACACTACCGTGAAACGTATGAAGAGACCTGCTCCTCATCCCCCAACGTCGCATCTCACACGCTGCATACCAGCGACAAGCGGCCCCGTCTTCTCCAGGGCTAGCGGCCCAGCAGGATCAAGAAGGCCCATCTGGCACCCCAGCTGTACCACAGGTCTGTCTGCCACAGAAGGATGAAGTCGCCAGACGACTATGACACACGACCAGAACTGTTGGTCGATCCTCATCTCGACGCGTCCCAAGACGCCACATACCTGTCTCCCTCCGTCCCGAACTTCAACACACGTACACCGAGGTATCGCTGACAGATCTGCACCGCATTCTGCAACCACGACTCCATCTGCTTCACGTCCACCTCACAGCCATCCCGTCTGGATAACGCGGCAAAGGCGCGCAACGTACCCTCCTGAGGACGCAAGAACGTGAACGGGACCCCAGTCACCGTCAAGTGATCCAAGAGCGGCATACTCGCCTCGTACAAGACGTGGCGCCCCTGCGCCCAGTCCTTCTCCCTCCGCGACGCAACATGCTGGCGAAAAACTCGTCGCACCGGCTCCTCCATCTCTGCCACAGGCGGGAAACACCGTCCCCCGACCGTCTGCACCTCCCACAAGGTGATGCAGCTACACTGCTGCGGAAGAAACCCGGCCAAGCGCGACAGCGCACCAGCCGAGATGCCAGGACACAGCACAACCACGGCACACTTACCCTGCGCCCGTGGGAAGCAAGCAGGCAACGCCTCCAAGATGTCCCACGCTCCTGCCTTACCCGTCCCGGTGTAGATCGATGATCCGACAAAGGTGCAATGCAACGTGCACCCAGCACATACCTCAACGCCTGTCCCAGGCTCACCACGATCCTCCGACTCCGCCTCCCAGTCGTCCATCGGCACTCCGAGCCGACCCTTTATCGAAAGCTGTCCCATCCTGCCGTCGCCCACCGCTCCGTTCACGCCAGTCTCCCCGGCCCGCCGTGGATACAACTGACTCCGTCTGTCGCCCCGCTATTCTTTTCGCCGAAAAATAAAAAGGAGGGAAGAAATGAAATCCTCTGCATTCTTCCAGGGAGGGCTCCCGCCCTCCTTTGTAGTTTGCCATGTGGGAGAAAGTGGCCCACTTTCGTCCCTTTTAGGTAACAGATATGGGCCAGCAGGCCCATCTCTGATAGGGTAGCAAGAGATGGAGCGAGGCTCCACTCTGTCAACGGTCAACGCCCATCTTACAAGTGAATCATACAGAGCTCGCACCAAATGCTCGCTAGATGGGCGTTCTGATTCGTCCAAAGGCCAAATTATTCCCTGTCGTATCCACTTTGGTCAACGAACTTCGTTGACGACGACCCCTTGGCTCGCCGTCGCCTCGTCCGTCTGTTGGTCACGCGCCATGCCACCTTCGGCGTCAGCCACGCTCCCACACTCTGTGTTTGTTGTTGCATAGCCATGGTTTCTCTTTGCAGTAGAAAATATGATTTCATCATTTTACTCTCGTAGTTATTCGCCACGTCGCTACGCTCGTGTGGCACAGGGCTGCCGCCCCGTACCCCGCCGATCCGGAATCTTAGCTCTCTTTTCCGACAGCATGTGGTACCAGACTATCAGCAGTCTTTAGCTGCACGCATCTTGTGGTTTGAGGCTGCACACCCTCACTATTTTTACATCTCACGATACTCTTTGGTGTTTTGTCCACACATTTCATTCACTTCGTTTCATGCACTCTGTTCATCCTTGGTTCCACCGCTCATTCCATTCGTTACTTATCGCACCTCACTATTCATTTCGTTTAGCTGTTGTGCTCGCGCACCCACGCTGCATCCACTGCCTCACCACTTCGTCCCGTGATCATCCCATGCACGCACAGCCCTGACGGTACTAGCCAATAATGCACATACTACTCCACAGTCGTCTAGCTACCTACGCGCCCTCACGCTCCGAACATAGGAACGCCACTCGTTCTCGGGAAATGGCTCGCCCAGCAGACAACGCCATATCGGCTTCCACACCTCGACGGAATCCACCAGCACGGCATCACGCCCTTGCAACTGTCCCACAGAAGAAGCGTCTGCGACACGGAAAGCAGACAAGATCACTCGTCGATCTTGATCCTCCGCCTCACCATGAGGGTCGAGAGTCCTCTCCATAAAGGCAAAATGGCCTCCCCGTCCATCGACGTCCATGATGACCCACACCTGCACGTCCTTGGTCCAGCCCCCGCTGGTCTGTATTCTCAGGAGCGTCCACTCCGTGTAGAAGCCCACACTGCGCTCACAACCATGGCTTCGACACTGCTCCCTCTGCGCAGCGTCCAAGGGAAGGATAGCATCCATAGCAAGTGCTCCCATCTTGCGAAACAGTTCCTCCGCACCTACATCTCGCCTCCAGGCTCGACAATACTTCAGCTCCTCCTCTCCCTCCCGGGAGAAATGGACCCGCAACCGAGCGGGAACATCACGTGCATCCACCACGGGACATAGAAGAACCTCCTTCTCGTCGCCTGCCTCCAAGGCAATCAGCACCTCCGCCGCTCGCAACATCTCCCGATGAAACTCCTCTGAAAATCCTTCCCACTCACTCGAGTGAGGCAACCAGTACACATTCATTCCATTCCGCACCGGCGGTGCTACCGTGTCATGCTCTCCCGCATCGAAATCGGCCTCCGACCCGTCCGTCTCCGGTTCCTCCTCCTCCTCCGAGGATGAAGCATACGGGGGAGAACCCCCCCCGAAAGACCACTGGACCGCATCTGCTACCAGCGCTCCCCTCAGCTCGCGCAACTCTAGCGCCTCACTACCGATCGTCCGCATCTCTCCGTATCTTCCCAGGAAGAAAAGAAGAAATGAATGAACAACGATCCTCTTGTTGTCTCGTCCCTGCTGTCGCTCCGCTATCGTTTCCCCCGGGGAAATGAAGAGGAAGAAAGAGAGATCCTCTGCTCCTTCTGGGAAGGGTGCACACCCTTCCTTTGTACTTTCCATGTGGGAGAAAGTGTGCCCACTTTCATCCCTTTTCGGTAACGGAACTGGGCCACCAGGCCCCGTTCCTATAGGTCAGCCAGTCGGGGTCCAAGGACCCACTCTGTCAACGGTCAACGCCCATCTTACAAGTGAATCATACAGAGCTCGCACCAAATGCTCGCTAGATGGGCGTTCTGATTCGTCCAAAGGCCAAATTATTCCCTGTCGTATCCACTTTGGTCAACGAACTTCGTTGACGACGACCCCTTGGCTCGCCGTCGCCTCGTCCGTCTGTTGGTCACGCGCCATGCCACCTTCGGCGTCAGCCACGCTCCCAGCTTCCAGCGTTGTTGTTGCATAGCCATTATGTCTCTCTAGTAGTAGACAATATGATTTCATCATTTCACTTCCGTGTATTAAGCAGCGTCGCTACGCTCGAGCTGCACAGGGCTGCCGCCCCGTACCCCGCCGATCCGGAACTCTAGCCATCTTTTCTGACAGCATGCGGATTAAGTAATAAAAGCATGTTTTAGGACATGCATCTCGCACAGCTTATGTGAAGTCAGCCACACACAGTGTTTCTCTAATCTCACGATTCTTCTTGGTGTTTCGCTCCAACACCATTTGATTGTTCCACACATCATTGCACTGCACTATCTGTTCATTTCATCTCACTCATGCTACCACGTCTACGACGGCTTGTAGGAGAACCCACAAACTGTTCTACATCATCGACAATCATCTCATCCTGTATCGCACGCTCCAGGGTCGCAAACGACGGCTCCTCCTCAAAGAGACACACGCATCTCCCCTGCCGTAACACGTCCCGCGTGCACTCGCGTACCAAGGCGGGGACAACCTCATCACCTCGGCGCAAATTCAGCCACAATGCTCGCGCCACCAGAGGAAAAGGCTGGACAATCCTGTCCGCGAAGACACACTCCGCAGCCCTCATATCCGTGCACTGCCGTATCCAATAGCCGACGAGATCCTCCTCATCTACCACGACCAGCTTGAACCCAAGCTTGGGACATTCTACATCCTCACGGCTAGGCCGTCCTGTGCGCAGCACATACTGCAAACGACGCACCCGCCCGGGCTGCTCCTCCAGGTCCTGCATCTCTTGACAACCCAACCTCGACGTCAGGGTGTGTATCAGGTGGCCAACATTGGTCCCACCACTGCACGGCTCAAAAGCCGCCTGCCAAGTCATAAGAATCGTGAGGAACTCCTCCCTCCTGCTCTGTCTCTCGCCGCAGTCGAACAGGCCGGCTACACAGCCACGTGTACCGTCCAACGCACTAAGAAAAGATCGGACATCCTCCTTCTCCATGAGCCCTGTCTCCGCCAGCCACTCCTCCACACAGGAGTAATAGTATCCAGCCTTCGTATACCTGTCACTAACGTCCAGCAGCCTCTGCATGTCCCCCACCGGGTCATCTTCCTGGGTATCCTCACCCAAGCGCCGCAACTCGTAAGCGACGCACTGTCGCCTAGCTCTCACCTCCGCATCCCATGCGACATCACTCACAACAGAGACATCCTCCTCCGATGCTGTCCTCATCTCTTCCAGCGGCCCCACGCCGGTCTCAGGCTCCTCCGTCCCATCTAACAGTCCTTCCTCCCAGGACGAGGAAGACGAAGAGGACCGAACACGCTCCTCCTCTCTGCTGCCCTGCATCATTGCAGACACCTCTTCGAGGATGCACACGTACTCCGTCTCCCCTTCTGCCGAAGGACAAGAAAAGGAAAATGAAAGGACAACGATCCTCTTGTTGTCGCACTCCGTAGTGTCGCTCTGCTTGCTGTTTTTCCGCCCGAAAAATAAAAAAGGAGGGAAGAATGAGCTCCGCTGCCTCTCCCTGGGGAGGGTGCACACCCTCCCTTTGTAGTTTGCCAAGTAGGCAGCAACTGACCCAGTTGCATGCCCAAAAGAGTAACGAAACTGGGCCACCAGCCCCGTTTCTGATAGGTGGAGCGGTAGGGTCCAGGGACCCACCCGCGTCAACGGTCAACGCCCATCTTACAAGTGAATCATACAGAGCTCGCACCAAATGCTCGCTAGATGGGCGTTCTGATTCGCTCAAATCGCGAAATATTCCCTGTCGTATCCACTTTGGTCAACGAACTTCGTTGACGACGACCCCTTGGCTCGCCGTCGCCTCGTCCGTCTGTTGGTCACGCGCCATGCCACCTTCGGCGTCAGCCACGCTCCCAGCTTCCAGCGTTGTTGTTGCATAGCCATTATGTCTCTCTAGTAGTAGACAATATGATTTCATCATTTCACTTCCGTGTATTAAGCAGCGTCGCTACGCTCGAGCTGCACAGGGCTGCCGCCCCGTACCCCGCCGATCCGGAATCTTAGCTCTCTTTTCCGACAGCATGTGGTACCAGACTATCAGCAGTCTTTAGCTGCACGCATCTTGTGGTTTGAGGCTGCACACCCTCACTATTTTTACATCTCACGATATTCTTTGGTGTTTCACACATGTTTTTCAGTCAGTCACCCTGTTCTTCTAATGGTTCTACTAGTCACTCCGTTCATTGTTTATTTCATCCTCTACTCCATGCATCTGTTGTCCTAGTAGTTCATTTCATTCACGATTCCAGTATCCTGATCATCAGTTGAATTGTTCCACCAAGACTCTATGCACTCCCGTTCTTCCTACTCCGAAGCGACATACCATTTGCCACGCTACCTCCCGGAGACACTGCACGCGACAGTGAACTCGGTGTTCCACCCTGCTGTTACGGCGCAGCCTATGGATCATGCTCTACCTTCAGCACAAGTTTGTACCCGACCACCGGGTGCAGGACCTCCTCGCTTCGATACGCTCGTAGAAGACACAGCTCTACCACAGCATAGTCCTCCGTGGGCTTACCAATAGAGGCCCCGTGCACCATCCAGACGCCGTCCAGACTGCCCTTCGAGTTGCGTGCTCCAGCCATCCACAGCTGATTGAATGGCGCCTTACGTAGGCGCCCATAGGTCTCCGAATTCCACACAAGACCATCCAGGTCTGCGATTGCGGCCCGACGTAACTCCTCCGTGCCCCACTCTCTTCCACGCGCACTCTCGTGCCCTCGCGACAACACACGATAGCTCGCCCGGCTCACCACGCACTCTGATGTCCCTGACTGCCCACAGGGCTCATGCTCCTTGCCCGCGCAACGATAGTCTCGTGCCTCCAGCCCGTCAGGGCCCTGCAACACCATCTCCAGATGTCTCATGTCAAACGGGACAACCACAGCAGACCATCCTTCCCTTCCTGTCTCATGTCGCGGCCACGCCCGTGCCGCCGTGCCCCACAACCACTCCTCGTCCTCCTGCAGTAGCTCCCACAGGTCGCCTCCATGGGGAAACCGGCCAAAGTCCAGAGAACCCCTCCGTGTCATCTCCGCGAATGCATAACCGCCCTGCGAATGCGTGGTCCCTTCCTCCACCGGCGCCTCACGAATCTTCGCCGACCCTCCGGGTGAACGGACTACCAGCCTGCGTGCACTCATCTTCCCCGGTTGAACCCACAACCGTCGACTCTGCCCTCACAAGTCAATCTGCAGCCTCCACAGCTGCCGTACTCCGTCTCCCCTTCTGCCGAAGGACAAGAAAAGGAAAATGAAAGGACAACGATCCTCTTGTTGTCGCACTCCGTAGTGTCGCTCTGCTTGCTGTTTTTCCGCCCGAAAAATAAAAAAGGAGGGAAGAATGAGCTCCGCTGCCTCTCCCTGGGGAGGGTGCACACCCTCCCTTTGTAGTTTGCCAAGTAGGCAGCAACTGACCCAGTTGCATGCCCAAAAGAGTAACGAAACTGGGCCACCAGCCCCGTTTCTGATAGGTGGAGCGGTAGGGTCCAGGGACCCACCCGCGTCAACGGTCAACGCCCATCTTACAAGTGAATCATACAGAGCTCGCACCAAATGCTCGCTAGATGGGCGTTCTGATTCGTCCAAAGGCCAAATTATTCCCTGTCGTATCCACTTTGGTCAACGAACTTCGTTGACGACGACCCCTTGGCTCGCCGTCGCCTCGTCCGTCTGTTGGTCACGCGCCATGCCACCTTCGGCGTCAGCCACGCTCCCAGCTTCCAGCGTTGTTGTTGTTATAGCCATATGTTCTACTAGTAGTAACAGCATTCATTCTTCATGTCTCTTCGAGTTATTCGCCACGGCTGCTGCGCAGCTAGTGGCACAGGGCTGCCGCCCCGTACCCCGCGGTTCCGGAAAAGAAGTACCTCTTTTTAAGGAATTTATCTGCACAAGCAGGGTAAAAGCATGTCTTAGGACACGCATCTTGGTGGGGCAAAGTGAGGCCCCCCACTCTTAGTGTTTTACAGATCTCACGATCCTTTTTGGTGTTTTCCACCCACTTTACTTCGTCTCATTTCATCATACACTCTGTTCAAGTCATTCATCATTCCATGCTACAATACATATTGATCGCATCACACATGCGCTGCATCACAAGGCTTCCTGCTCCCCTGGCCGCCGTAGTTCCACGTCTGCACTACTCATTTCTCCCCATGCTTGTTGCGCAATCCTGCCGCCATCTACGGGAGGACACAACAGGGTGTCACGTACTCTAGAACGCAAGCCTACCAGTGCAGTGCTGCCTGACACCACTGGCCAAAAGTGTAGCCCACAGGGCAGTTGGAAAACAGAAAACTACATAGCGGTACCCTCGCGACAGAAGTCGGACGCATGTTCCACGACAAGGTCAGAAAACACCTTCGCCTGCTGCTGTAGGTGCCAGGAACGTAGCGCTGCCCCAATCACCGCCACTGAACGAATGGCTTGCACCAAGCTCGCCAACATCCATGTCTCCAAGGTGCCCCTCTCTGCACGCTCGGCCAGAAAGGGCCGATGATCTCTCACCTCCATCCGGCTTCCACCGGAATCGTGCGACGTACACGTCGAAACAGAGAGCATGGTCTGCTCATCCAAGAACCCACGCACTGTCGCGCCCCGCTCCCGGACTCCCATCCGTATCGCCGCCCACTCGGACGAAATCGACATCACGTCCCTCCACGACTCACCTCCGACGCGTCCCCGCGGAAGACTGCAACGCCTCCATCCCCACAGGGGAATGTCATGCTGCCGAGACCAGCTCGTAAGGAGCAGCGACAACGCCCGCTCCATCACTCCGAGATCCACTCCTCCCAGAGTGTACTGACAGTGCAACTGCAACCGGAGATCGCGCACCGCCCGATCAACCATCTCCTCTTCCTCCCGAAGTCGAGCCAGCGCAGCCAGCGTATCCGCCGTGCATCCGACAAACCAGACCTGCTCACGCATCAGCCTCTCCTCCGCACCGAGGTCTGTCCCTTCCCGGGAATCATGCGCCTGCCCAGTCGCACATCTGCCACCAGCCTTCCGGCGTCTCGAGACATCCTCTCGTTCTAACCGCTCCCCCACTCGCTTCAACCTCGTACGCATCGGCCCTCCCGGCGCCATGCCTCACGACTGAAAGGCCACAAGCCTGCTTCTCCTCCGGAAAGAAGGAAAAGAACTGAAGTGCACAACGATCCCCCTGTTGTCAGTCCCTGCTGTCGCTCTGCTGTGTTTCTGCCAGAAAAAGAAAAGAAGAAGAAATGAAATCCTCTGCATTCTTCCAGGAGGGCTCCCGCCCTCCTTTGTAGTTTGCCATGTGGGAGAAAGTGGCCCACTTTCGTCCCTTTTAGGTAACAGATATGGGCCAGCAGGCCCATCTCTGATAGGGTAGCAAGAGATGGAGCGAGGCTCCACTCTGTCAACGGTCAACGCCCATCTTACAAGTGAATCATACAGAGCTCGCACCAAATGCTCGCTAGATGGGCGTTCTGATTCGTCCAAAGGCCAAATTATTCCCTGTCGTATCCACTTTGGTCAACGAACTTCGTTGACGACGACCCCTTGGCTCGCCGTCGCCTCGTCCGTCTGTTGGTCACGCGCCATGCCACCTTCGGCGTCAGCCACGCTCCCAGCTTCCAGCGTTGTTGTTGTTATAGCCATATGTTCTACTAGTAGTAACAGCATTCATTCTTCATGTCTCTTCGAGTTATTCGCCACGGCTGCTGCGCAGCTAGTGGCACAGGGCTGCCGCCCCGTACCCCGCGGTTCCGGAAAAGAAGTACCTCTTTTTAAGGAATTTATCTGCACAAGCAGGGTAAAAGCATGTCTTAGGACACGCATCTTGTAGTTTTTGAAGCTCCACTTCACTAGTGTTTCACCATCTCACGATGTTTCTTGGTGTTTCACACATGTTTTCCATCACTCCGTTCATTGCTGGTTCTACTACTCATTTCATTCATTTGATTTCATCATTCGTTTCACGACACCGGATACCAGATCCGTTGGTCTACAATACGTACTACGCAGAGCTACTTCACAAATTATCCAGCTGACACTGATGCATCATACCATGAATAAGACTAAAGTCCCCCGCGGACTCCTCGTCCGACACAAGACCCAAGTCATGAGATGCCTTGAACACCCTCTGCACGAGGCCCCAAAGGTGGAACACTTCCTGGTCATCCGACCCGCCGACTTCGCCGACGAGAACTAGAACACAAGTGATCAAATATCGTAGGCTTCCCCAAGCCCAAGAGCGCAGCGACATGTGCTGCTGCGAGACGTGATCGATGTCGATCAGACGGTCCTGTCCTGGCGTGCACGACGCACACAGCCTCCGGTCCTGCACAAACTTCTGCACCTGAAGCCACTGGCTAGTGTTCCCCAACGGGAACTCTCGCGCCTCCTCTTCGTCCTCTCCTTCGTCGGCCACCGCCTTGACAATTTCCTGCCGGTCCAAGTCAAGCACAAGTGACACCAACGTGATCACCTCACTCACCGCCTCGGGATACGCACCCTGCTGCTCAAGTGACGGCACAACGCCGCGCTGGCCATCCAAACAGATCTGGTGCTCCGCAGACCACTCTGTCAACCACTGACATAGATCCATCTCCGTCCTCCGTAGACCAACTCCAGGAACGATGCGTGCCTCCAGCCCTGCGACAAGCCGAGTCATCGTCTGCACCCTCGTGCCAGTCTCCATCATCGACTCCACCGTCTCTCTCCAGCCGCCACCCAGGCGTGGAAAGTGGACCACAGCAGTGTCTTCGACCCCAGCTCCCCTCCGGTAAGCCCGACCAGACTCGGGCACAAGCTCCCACTCGTCCTCATCCCGCGATGAAGAACAGCCAGCCATCTCTCTGTCGTTCCTGTTGATGCACGCCAGTGCATCCCAAGGCTTGGTTCTTGGCCACAAGAACATAAGAAGAAAAAAGAGCGCGCAGCGCGATACTGTCTCCTCCCCAGGAAGACCACCGACTCCTTCGTCCACGCCTGGTACCAGACCAGGTCGCACCGCCGTCCCTCTTCTCTCGAAAGAAAGAAAGGACAACCGTCCCTGTGTTGTGTTCGTCCCGAGTATCGCTCCGCTGGAATTCCCGCAGGGAATGAAAGAGGAAGAAGAATTGTCGCCCCCCGCCAACTTCTGGGAGGGCACCAGCCCTCCCTTATGTATCTTCGAAAGTGGGAACCAACTGACCCAGTTGGTGTCCCAAAAGGGTAACGGATTGTGGCCAGCAGGCCACATCCTCATAGGTCAAACAGGTAGGTCCGAAGGACCCACTCTGTCAACGGTCAACGCCCATCTTACAAGTGAATCATACAGAGCGCCCATACAAATGGTCGCGAAGATGGGCTGTGATTCGTCCAATCGACGAAATATTCCCTGTCGTATCCACTTTGGTCAACGAACTTCGTTGACGACGACCCCTTGGCTCGCCGTCGCCTCGTCCGTCTGTTGGTCACGCGCCATGCCACCTTCGGCGTCAGCCACGCTCCCACACTCTGTGTTTGTTGTTGCATAGCCATGGTGTTTCTACTAGTAGTAACAATATGATTTCATCATTGCTCTTCGAGGTGAGCGCCAGGGTCCTGCGGACCACGGCACAGGGGGCTTCCCCCTGTAACCCCCTTCTTTCCGGAATAGAAGTACCTCTTTTTGACAGCATGCAGTCAAAGTAATAAAGGCATGCTCTAGGGCACGCATCTTTGCACAAGTGAGGCTGTACCCTAGTACTGTTTTACAGATCTCACGATACTCTTTGGAGGTTGGCTCCGCTGCACATTGTTCCACACCACATCACTCCATCAATCACTCCATTCTTCTGATTGTTGCACATGCTCATTTCATGTCTCGTCATCCTAGTTCGAGAAGTTATTATGAATCACCAGAGAGCCCCGAAGGGCATCGGACAGTTCCACAGATTGCTCCGTACATGCTCACGATCCTCCGACCAAGTGTACAATCACTGACAGCATACTACAAAGGGCTGTTCCAACTACGCCCATCTAACCTCTGCACCTGCCACACCGTGTCAGCACCGCCCTCCATCCTGGCCAGGCCATGGTCCAGACAATACGCAACGCGGTCCAACAGCGTCAACAGCCAGACGGCCCACCACTCCAGAGTGGAAGACCCAAGCGCCACCGCAACCCTTCTGGTGGCCTCCGCACAGAACACCAAGTTCACCAAGTGCCAGTGACCCGGCATCAGATGCACCTCCAGTAGGTGGAAGAGAAAGAACAGGTCCGCATGGTACCATGCACACCGCATACAAACCGCGCAACTCCCCCCCGCGCTCATCATCCTCCTAACGACTCCCCTCTCCAAGGAACTCATCTCGTGTCTCCGCGGGCTCTCCACGAGCCCGTACATCAGCCTCGCCAGAGGCACCAAGCCCTCATACGGGACAGGCACAGCCAGCACACCCTGGCTAGTCGCGATCTCATACCTCTTCACCCCCAGGGGCAACTGGGCGGCACGCGCCCACACACACAGCTCCCGCACCAAGTCCGCCCCGGACAAGCAGAAGACCTGCGTCACTCCATCATGACCCACCTGACGTATCCTCTGGATCATCTCCTCCAGGATATCACGCCCCGGCGACAACTCCTGCCGTCGCGTAGCAAACGACAAGACAACTGTCCTGTCGAACACGGGGAAATACACATCCCCACTCCGTAACAGACTGGGCACCAAGTGCCCGTTGCACCACTCCCCCTCTCGTAGTACCAAGGATCGTCCCGGCCTCACCACACCCTCTGCGCAGCATAGGTCCAGTCCAACGGCTCGACCCCCCTCGCCTATCTCTACCCCGTGCACGGGGTGCTCCATACCCATTGCGCTTCCTGTTGATGCACGCCAGTGCATCCCAAGGCTTGGTTCTTGGCCACAAGAACAAAGGAAAAAGAAATACGAAATTTCGAAACAACCGATCCTCTCCTGTTGTCGCTCCGCCGTGATCGTCCCTCGCCTTTCTCCGAAAATGAAATGAAGGAGGGAAGAATGTCCTGCCAGTTCATCTCCCCGAGATGGGCCCAAGCCCATCTTTGTATCTTCGAATGTGGGGCCAGCGCCACAGCGCTAGGCCCTAAAGGGTAGTCGAACTGGGCCACCAGGCCCCGTTCTCATAGGTCAAACTCTCGTGGAGCAGGCTCCACTCTCGTCAACGGTCAACGCCCATCTTACAAGTGAATCATACAGAGCGCCCATACAAATGGTCGCGAAGATGGGCTGTGATTCGTCCAATCGACGAAATATTCCCTGTCGTATCCACTTTGGTCAACGAACTTCGTTGACGACGACCCCTTGGCTCGCCGTCGCCTCGTCCGTCTGTTGGTCACGCGCCATGCCACCTTCGGCGTCAGCCACGCTCCCACACTCTGTGTTTGTTGTTGCATAGCCATGGTTTCTCTCTGTGAGTAGAAAATATGATTTCATCATCTCACTTCCGTGGTTATTCGCCACGTCGCTACGCTCGTGTGGCACAGGGCTGCCGCCCCGTACCCCGCGGATCCGGAACTCTAGCCATCTTTTCTGACAGCATGCGGATTAAGTAATAAAAGCATGTTTTAGGACATGCATCTTCTAGTTTTGAAGCCACACTTCCCCAGTGTTTGTTGCATCTCACGATCTTTCTTGGTGTTTTGTTCCACTTCTTCACACATTTCATGCAATCACATCCTGTTCATCTCATCATCCCTCGAGTCACTCTGTTTATTCTCATACGGCCTACTGTTCCTCTCATTTCATTTAGTAATCCGTCCCATTCTATTACTACTACGATACACGCTGTTCCTTCCTCTTTGCATTTCATCTACTCCATTCCTACACGTCATCACTCAGTTGTGTGCTACACATGGCGCATAGAGCGACACCAAGTCAGCTGCACTTCCACCACCGACACTGCAGCTCGGCGGAAACAACACCGTGTCTTTCCACACCAAAAAGCTCTGCCGGTTCCAGCAGAAACCACACCTTCGGGACACTAGAGAGCATCACTGGCGCGACAACACCAGCGCTCACAGAGCGAAGACAGATCACAAGACCAGCGTGCCCTTCCCTCCAGGGCACCAGACATGATGCGAAACCTTACGCTGCACGCCTCCCAGGAACGCCATCCACTGGACTACCCAGTCACAGTGACCATCGCGAGAGACAGAAACGCTAGTGGACCCATGCCGAGGCCCACAAGGCGAGGCCAACACCTCCACCTCATACACGAGGAGGTCAGAGAAACACTTCCCGTGCCGGTACGTAGTCTGCCAACCACGGATCCTCCTTCGTTGCTGGTCCCCGAGGACACGGTACATGTCCATACGGACAACAGTAGTATACGCCCCTGACTGGTAGTTCCACGGCTGCTCCCGCAGCGTGACACCGTCTCCCTTACCCCCCGCAAGGGAACAAGACATCGCATACAGCGACACCAGATCCACTGCACGGACAGCCGTCCGCCACGCTAGCACAGGAAAATAACCCGCCTCCTGCTTCAAGCTGAGGTGCGCCCTGCACCTCTCATACACGCAGCAGCGCCACTCCTCAGAGTCCTCGGAGCCCCCCCCGGGACAGCCCTCCAGGCCAGGACAACACTCCACTAGGCCATCGGTCAGCACAGCCGACAACAAGCGTCGCATCTCCAGCTGCGAACCACCTGCCGTAGCAACAAAGCCGGGCACCAGCCCGGTAGCCTCCCTGTTCACTCCTCCCGTCCTCGCAAGCGACGACGCACTCTCCCGTCTCCACCGGGGACTAGGAATCGACCCGTCATCCAAGACAAGCGGGACCTCCATCCCGCGCACAACCCCTCCGGTATCGTCGTTCGTCCCTGCTGTCGTTCCACTGTGTTTCCCCCGGGGAAAAGAAAGGAAAGAAGAACTGTCGCACCCCGCCATCTTCTGGGAAGGGCCTCAGCCCTTCCTTTGTATCCAAGGAATGTGGGAGAAAGTGGCCCACTTTCGTCCCTTTTAGGTAACAGATATGGGCCAGCAGGCCCATCTCTGATAGGGTAGCAAGAGATGGAGCGAGGCTCCACTCTGTCAACGGTCAACGCCCATCTTACAAGTGAATCATACAGAGCTCGCACCAAATGCTCGCTAGATGGGCGTTCTGATTCGTCCAAAGGCCAAATTATTCCCTGTCGTATCCACTTTGGTCAACGAACTTCGTTGACGACGACCCCTTGGCTCGCCGTCGCCTCGTCCGTCTGTTGGTCACGCGCCATGCCACCTTCGGCGTCAGCCACGCTCCCACACTCTGTGTTTGTTGTTGCATAGCCATGGTTTCTCTCTGTGAGTAGAAAATATGATTTCATCATTCACTCTCGTGTATTAAGCAGCGTCGCTACGCTCGAGCTGCACAGGGCTGCCGCCCCGTACCCCGCGGATCCGGAACTCTAGCCATCTTTTCCGACAGCATGCGGATTAAGTAGTGTAAGCATGTCTTAGCGACACGCATCTTCTAGTTTGAGGCCACACTTTCTCAGTGTTACTGCATCTCACGATTACTTTTGGTGTTCTCCACCACACATTCATTTCATTGCATCACTTCGTTCCATTCCTGGTTCTACTGATGACTTCATCCAATCGTCCCGATACTCCTGCTTCGCATAGCACGACTAACAGTCCTGCTCTACTCTCTCTTCATACTATTCCGCTACCCTGCAGCCACTAAGAGGATCCATCCACCATAGAGAATCCCTCTCACGCTGCGCACCAGACCTCGCTGAGGCGAAAGACACTCGTGACCCGACAAGGCAATGCACCGCGCACGCGCACATGCGACGACGCAGCAGAAGACCCCTTCCATCCTCGACGAGAGGTCAGCCTCTTGATGCCGTCCCGCCCAGAACAGCTACTCCGCCCTGTGGTACAATAGCCGAGTCAAGCTCGTCACAGCGTTCGCATACTGCTCACCAGGGTAGGCGCGCCAGAAGGTAAACTGCACCGCAAGGGAGTCGGCACCCGACACCGCCACCGCAGGCCTCGCGCTAATGATCCAAACACCGTCATCCTCGACAGAGCGTGCACGATGAACCTGCATGTCCATCGTCCAAACCTGAACAAAAGATGCGTCCCGCACATCCCCGAGACAATATCGCTGCTGCTGGATGAAATTATCCATGTCCACCCGGTGGATACCATCCGTCTTAGCAAAAAGACGGTGCCCATAGGCAAACCGGTGAAACGCACACGCGTGCAGTCGCTCCTTCGCCAGGATCACGGGTTGGCACGCCGACCCCCGGTGCGGCCCATCACACCTGTGCACGGCAACAGCCTCCATCGCACCTTCCTGCATGCTCCGCCTAAAGAGTTCGGCATCCACCTGCCTCACCCGGCGCCAGTCATACGTCGATGCCTGCCCCTTCTTCCGCCCTCTCGGCTGCATGTACATGTCCACATCGTACACGCGCTTGCATAGGGTCGAGACCCAGCTCGCCCTCGCCCTGTCCTTCCCGAACAGCACCATCATGCCACAGCACCTCTCGCGCCCGCTGCTACCTCAGCACTCACCCACCCAGTGGGTTCAGTCTTCCTCCGGAAATACTCACAAGCCACCGTCGTACTGCGCCGTGTCAATAAAGGTCCTCGCCGACCACAGTCCGTCTCGATCCCCTCCAAGCCCATCTTGGACGAAAGGAGCATGTCCCCGCCTGCTCCCAGCACCGCATATATACTCGCGTGTTCGGCCATCCTGGCTAGTCGTCCCTTTGTTGTTTCTCCCCGAGAAAGAGAAGGAAGAAAGAGAACTCCTTTGCTCTGTTCTTGGAAGGGCCCCAGCCCTTCCTTTGTACTTCCAAGGAATGTGCGGATTGTGTGCACGCACACTAATCCTTTTTCGGTGTTCGAACTGGGCCAGCAGGCCCACTTCTCATTGGGTAGCGAGGTAGGTCCAAGGACCCACTCTCGTCAACGGTCAACGCCCATCTTACAAGTGAATCATACAGAGCTCGCACCAAATGCTCGCTAGATGGGCGTTCTGATTCGTCCAAAGGCCAAATTATTCCCTGTCGTATCCACTTTGGTCAACGAACTTCGTTGACGACGACCCCTTGGCTCGCCGTCGCCTCGTCCGTCTGTTGGTCACGCGCCATGCCACCTTCGGCGTCAGCCACGCTCCCACACTCTGTGTTTGTTGTTGCATAGCCATGGTTTCTCTCTGTGAGTAGAAAATATGATTTCATCATCTCACTTCCGTGGTTATTCGCCACGTCGCTACGCTCGTGTGGCACAGGGCTGCCGCCCCGTACCCCGCGGATCCGGAACTCTAGCCATCTTTTCTGACAGCATGCGGATTAAGTAATAAAAGCATGTTTTAGGACATGCATCTTCTAGTTTTGAAGCCACACTTCCCCAGTGTTTGTTGCATCTCACGATCTTTCTTGGTGTTTTGTTCCACTTCTTCACACATTTCATGCAATCACATCCTGTTCATCTCATCATCCCTCGAGTCACTCTGTTTATTCTCATACGGCCTACTGTTCCTCTCATTTCATTTAGTAATCCGTCCCATTCTATTACTACTACGATACACGCTGTTCCTTCCTCTTTGCATTTCATCTACTCCATTCCTACACGTCATCACTCAGTTGTGTGCTACACATGGCGCATAGAGCGACACCAAGTCAGCTGCACTTCCACCACCGACACTGCAGCTCGGCGGAAACAACACCGTGTCTTTCCACACCAAAAAGCTCTGCCGGTTCCAGCAGAAACCACACCTTCGGGACACTAGAGAGCATCACTGGCGCGACAACACCAGCGCTCACAGAGCGAAGACAGATCACAAGACCAGCGTGCCCTTCCCTCCAGGGCACCAGACATGATGCGAAACCTTACGCTGCACGCCTCCCAGGAACGCCATCCACTGGACTACCCAGTCACAGTGACCATCGCGAGAGACAGAAACGCTAGTGGACCCATGCCGAGGCCCACAAGGCGAGGCCAACACCTCCACCTCATACACGAGGAGGTCAGAGAAACACTTCCCGTGCCGGTACGTAGTCTGCCAACCACGGATCCTCCTTCGTTGCTGGTCCCCGAGGACACGGTACATGTCCATACGGACAACAGTAGTATACGCCCCTGACTGGTAGTTCCACGGCTGCTCCCGCAGCGTGACACCGTCTCCCTTACCCCCCGCAAGGGAACAAGACATCGCATACAGCGACACCAGATCCACTGCACGGACAGCCGTCCGCCACGCTAGCACAGGAAAATAACCCGCCTCCTGCTTCAAGCTGAGGTGCGCCCTGCACCTCTCATACACGCAGCAGCGCCACTCCTCAGAGTCCTCGGAGCCCCCCCCGGGACAGCCCTCCAGGCCAGGACAACACTCCACTAGGCCATCGGTCAGCACAGCCGACAACAAGCGTCGCATCTCCAGCTGCGAACCACCTGCCGTAGCAACAAAGCCGGGCACCAGCCCGGTAGCCTCCCTGTTCACTCCTCCCGTCCTCGCAAGCGACGACGCACTCTCCCGTCTCCACCGGGGACTAGGAATCGACCCGTCATCCAAGACAAGCGGGACCTCCATCCCGCGCACAACCCCTCCGGTATCGTCGTTCGTCCCTGCTGTCGTTCCACTGTGTTTCCCCCGGGGAAAAGAAAGGAAAGAAGAACTGTCGCACCCCGCCATCTTCTGGGAAGGGCCTCAGCCCTTCCTTTGTATCCAAGGAATGTGGGAGAAAGTGGCCCACTTTCGTCCCTTTTAGGTAACAGATATGGGCCAGCAGGCCCATCTCTGATAGGGTAGCAAGAGATGGAGCGAGGCTCCACTCTGTCAACGGTCAACGCCCATCTTACAAGTGAATCATACAGAGCTCGCACCAAATGCTCGCTAGATGGGCGTTCTGATTCGCTCAAATCGCGAAATATTCCCTGTCGTATCCACTTTGGTCAACGAACTTCGTTGACGACGACCCCTTGGCTCGCCGTCGCCTCGTCCGTCTGTTGGTCACGCGCCATGCCACCTTCGGCGTCAGCCACGCTCCCACACTCTGTGTTTGTTGTTGCATAGCCATGGTTTCTCTCTGTGAGTAGAAAATATGATTTCATCATTTTACTCTCGTAGTTATTCGCCACGTCGCTACGCTCGTGTGGCACAGGGCTGCCGCCCCGTACCCCGCCGATCCGGAATCTTAGCTCTCTTTTCCGACAGCATGTGGTACCAGACTATCAGCAGTCTTTAGCTGCACGCATCTTGTTGGGGCAAACGAAGCCCCTCACTGTTAGTGTTTCTCTAATCTCACGATGTTTTTTGGTGTTTCACACACGTTTTTCATTTCATCTCATGCAATCATTCATTCACTCTGTTCAATTTCAATCACCCTGTTCACTGGTTGTTCGACTCATCTCATCATCCATCCTGTTTGTCATTCCCATTCCACTAATCTACAAGTGCTCCGCGCGTGCATAGCACAAGACTCTGTTCGCGTGTATACAAATCCCCATGGTGAAACCACGCGAGTAGAAAGAGAAGTCTACCGCCACCGGTCTAGTACGCATACCTCTGGCAGAACAGCCTGTATCTCCCAAGAGCCCCACGTAGTCCTGGAGGGGCAAGAATGAGATCATCCTCCGACCAACAATCCTTCACCGCCAAGCTAACGCAAGTGCACGGCTTCTCCTCCGTGCAGGATACCTGGTTCCGCCACTGATCAGCTGCGGCCCAGAAAGAAGACGCAGTCCAACCCAGCACTGCGGTGCTACCAAGGCTCATCAGCCACTCTTCCACGCAGAGTGAGACAACATCCATGTCTTGTATCTGGGCCCACTGGCCAATATATCTAGCCAAATAGGCAGAAGCAAAGAGACTCGCAGCGACCCACTGCCTCCTCGTAGCAAATCTCCCCAGGAGACTCACGTACGGATCAGAGTCCGCCCCAGCGGACAAAGAGTGACAAACACATTCGCACCCAAGTGCGGACTTCACAGCCCTCGGCACAAACCGCCGAGCATTCCCGAAGAACTGCTCCCTGACGTCCCGAGACGACACCTCATACCGGTGAGGCGCACGCATCGCCATCAAGCTCGCGAGCTGGAACGTGCTAATAGGGAGACCCTCTCCCTCCATCTCCCCCGGGGAAGAAAAACCCTGCACAGAGAGTCCGAACTCCTCGCACCACTGCCACAGTGCCTTGGTAAACGTCCGCTCCACTTCCTCAATCGAGTGCTCCAGACCTCTCGGTCCATCGCCGTCCAAAACCTGTCCCGTTGTCTCCGCCATCAACGCAGACCATCGCAAGCGAGCAGCGTCCTTAGGAAGCCTGCAGCTCCACTGCTGAACCTCCGCATCCTCTCGGAGCGTAACAAAATACACGCCCTGCTTCACTTCGTGTCCCCGAGGGGCACTATCTCCGACAAGACCCATCCTGGTCCAGATCTTCTGCGAAGAAGGAAAAGAAAAAGAAAAGTGCACAACGATCCCCTGTTGTGGTACTCCGTCTGCCGCTCTGCTGTTTTCCTCCAAGAATGAAGGAAAGAAGGAAGAGAATGTCTGCACCCCATCCATCTCTTGGAAGGGCCCCAGCCCTTCCTTTAGTATCTTCGAAGGTGGTAGAAACTGACCCAGTTTCGTCCCAAATAGGTAACCAGACTGGGCCAGCAGGCCCAGTTCTGATTGGAAGGTAAGCGGGGGGTCAGGACCCACCCGCGTCAACGGTCAACGCCCATCTTACAAGTGAATCATACAGAGCTCGCACCAAATGCTCGCTAGATGGGCGTTCTGATTCGTCCAAAGGCCAAATTATTCCCTGTCGTATCCACTTTGGTCAACGAACTTCGTTGACGACGACCCCTTGGCTCGCCGTCGCCTCGTCCGTCTGTTGGTCACGCGCCATGCCACCTTCGGCGTCAGCCACGCTCCCACACTCTGTGTTTGTTGTTGCATAGCCATGGTTTCTCTCTGTGAGTAGAAAATATGATTTCATCATCTCACTTCCGTGTATTAAGCAGCGTCGCTACGCTCGAGCTGCACAGGGCTGCCGCCCCGTACCCCGCGGATCCGGAACTCTAGCTCTCTTTTAAGGAATTTATCGGTACCAGACCGAAAGCATGCTTGAAGGCACGCATCTTTGTGGGGTGAAGCCACAACTTGTGACTGTTAGTGCATCTCACGATGATTACTGGTGTTTCGCACACTACTTTCATTGCATCACTCCGCTCTTCTGGTTGTTCCACTACACATTTCATTTGATTGTTCATCTACTTGGTTGTTCCACGATGCACTTCGTCTACTATTCATCACTCATTTCATTTGCTCATTTGTTCATGTCACAGATCATTTCATTCACTGCAGTTCTACTTCCTAGTTGCACAGCCTCCTGCCCGAGTAAAGGACACCGTCCTGTCCTACAAGGATCATGGTAATACCGATGCATCGCACGATGTTCTCCGGCGCACAGCACCAGAGGAAGAAAGGAGGAAAGAAGGGAAAAGGCTTCGCCACCTCACCTACCTGGTCTGAACACACCTCTCCCTCTCCCGGGAAGAGAGAATAGCACCCAAGAGAAGAATCCTCCCTCATGACAACGCACCTCCACGGTACAACCCGTGCATCCACCCGGAAGAACCCTCTGCTAGGGATCTGGCTCCTCGTTCTCTTGTCCTCCTGCCCGCAAGTCGGAAGCACTGGGCTGTTTCGGCACACATGCCTTCAAGCAAGCCAAAGGCTGGCGAACATCTCCACGCCGCCTCTCACGGCAGCACCTTCGCGCTCCTGACTCTACTGCCGCTTGCCCCCGCTCGCGGCTCACAGACAGCCTGTCGGACTGACTTCCACTGCCGAACCAAGGTCGTTGCTCCAACCAGACGCCCATGTCCTCCTGCGACACACTCTCCACTAGAGCTCGTCCCTCGCCCGCCTGTGCTAGCGCACGCAACCACTGACGCACACTCTCACCCTGCCCACTCCGCTCGGGCAGAACAATAACAGTCAAAGACCACACATCTCCGCCCTCCTGGCCACAAGAGAAGAGACCATCCTGTTCCTTCCTGACGAACCACCGCGAGGCACAAGTGCCCAGCCGTCGGTACCACACACCGACATCTGCACTCCGTCCAAGGAGAGTAGTAACGATCCTCCAGTCCCCGTCCCGCTCTCGCACCTCTGTCTCCCCAGACAAGATAGAAGCCGCACTTACCCGTGCCCGCATCTCCAAGTAAAGGCTGCCCAGCCTTGTCAGGACTCGAATAGATCCCTCGTCCCCAACGATACCTGCCCTCCGGAAGGCAGCGTCCATCCTGGTTCCAAGGAAAGAGAAAAAAAAGAAAAGTGCACAACGATCCCCTGTTGTGGTACTCCGTCTGCCGCTCTGCTGTTTTCCTCCAAGAATGAAGGAAAGAAGGAAGAGAATGTCTGCACCCCATCCATCTCTTGGAAGGGCCCCAGCCCTTCCTTTAGTATCTTCGAAGGTGGTAGAAACTGACCCAGTTTCGTCCCAAATAGGTAACCAGACTGGGCCAGCAGGCCCAGTTCTGATTGGAAGGTAAGCGGGGGGTCAGGACCCACCCGCGTCAACGGTCAACGCCCATCTTACAAGTGAATCATACAGAGCTCGCACCAAATGCTCGCTAGATGGGCGTTCTGATTCGCTCAAATCGCGAAATATTCCCTGTCGTATCCACTTTGGTCAACGAACTTCGTTGACGACGACCCCTTGGCTCGCCGTCGCCTCGTCCGTCTGTTGGTCACGCGCCATGCCACCTTCGGCGTCAGCCACGCTCCCACACTCTGTGTTTGTTGTTGCATAGCCATGGTTTCTCTTTGCAGTAGAAAATATGATTTCATCATTTTACTCTCGTAGTTATTCGCCACGTCGCTACGCTCGTGTGGCACAGGGCTGCCGCCCCGTACCCCGCCGATCCGGAATCTTAGCTCTCTTTTCCGACAGCATGTGGTACCAGACTATCAGCAGTCTTTAGCTGCACGCATCTTGTTGGGGCAAACGAAGCCCCTCACTGTTAGTGTTTCTCTAATCTCACGATGTTTTTTGGTGGTTGGCTCCACCACATTTCATTTCATTCATTCATGCACTTCGTTTATTTAGTTGTTCTACTCATCATTGCATTCCATCAGTTCATTGTTCATTTCATTACACCTACTGCTACTCTCTATCCAGGGAGAAGACGCTACGCTGTGGGACTACTAAGCCGCGACACTGCCACGAAGAGCCTCCTGCCCACTGTTCAGCCCCCTCATTCCGCCTCGGGGGGAAAAAGTATGACGGCAAAGCAAGAGAAAGACTCACAAGGACAACCACGTCCTCCATACGGGACTACTCCGCAACAATCCGCCACCGCAGAATAACGAGGGGGTCTTACCCCGAGGGCACAACGATCGCGCCGCCATGCACCGACGAAAGAAAAGGTGCTACCCATCTACCACATCACGGATGTGACACTGAGATAATAGACTAGAGGGTGGACTCCCACCACTCTCACCCACCGGGACATAGAAGGCATCCACGCCAACCATCAGCCGTGCCAAGTTCCTGGACTGACCATCCAAAGGGATACGACGAGAACCTCGCGTCCCTAACAGACCCAACTGGTCCAGCGCTCCCTCCCACGTTCGCTTGTACATCTGGTACCAACGCTCCCAAGCGTCTTCATGTTCACTGTCCTCCCGCTCCGCCTCTGCTCTCAACCAGGCTAGCTCCCCGGCTCGCCCTTCGTGCTGTCGCCACAAGGCCAACAGAATACCACCGTACCCAAAGGCCAACCTGTCCTTCGGTCCTTCCGACTCCGCCACAGGCGGAAGAATCCTGATCTCATCCTTCCGAGCACGCACCCATTCCACCAGGTCGCAAAGGCCTGCCCCGACCACAGCGGGGACAAGAGAAGCTGACACTAGAGACCGGTCCTCCGGACGACCACAGCGCCGCACCAGATCCACCACCGCGGAAAACGTGGTGTCCCACTCAACCGGGCGTAAAGACGCCCCCAAGACCAGAAACTCTGCCCTCTCCGATCCAAGACGGCTCCCCTTGGCTCCCGCACAAATCGTCCTGGCACCATAGTACCAGACTGCCGCAGATAGCGGCATAGACACATCCGCCGCCAGGCGGTCTGACGCACAAATGCTCAAGTTGCTCACCCGCACAAAAAGCCACAATCCATGGGCCTGCTCGCCCCGCACGGTCACAGCCCTCTCGTCCTCCATCCTCTGTCGTCCACTCTGTCTTGTCGCCTCCGCCGCTTGGTTTTCTCCGAAAATGAATGAGGAAGAAAGAGAACTCCTTTGCTCTGTTCTTGGAAGGGCCCCAGCCCTTCCTTTGTACTTCCAAGGAATGTGCGGATTGTGTGCACGCACACTAATCCTTTTTCGGTGTTCGAACTGGGCCAGCAGGCCCACTTCTCATTGGGTAGCGAGGTAGGTCCAAGGACCCACTCTCGTCAACGGTCAACGCCCATCTTACAAGTGAATCATACAGAGCTCGCACCAAATGCTCGCTAGATGGGCGTTCTGATTCGTCCAAAGGCCAAATTATTCCCTGTCGTATCCACTTTGGTCAACGAACTTCGTTGACGACGACCCCTTGGCTCGCCGTCGCCTCGTCCGTCTGTTGGTCACGCGCCATGCCACCTTCGGCGTCAGCCACGCTCCCACACTCTGTGTTTGTTGTTGCATAGCCATGGTTTCTCTTTGCAGTAGAAAATATGATTTCATCATTTTACTCTCGTAGTTATTCGCCACGTCGCTACGCTCGTGTGGCACAGGGCTGCCGCCCCGTACCCCGCCGATCCGGAATCTTAGCTCTCTTTTCCGACAGCATGTGGTACCAGACTATCAGCAGTCTTTAGCTGCACGCATCTTGTTGGGGCAAACGAAGCCCCTCACTGTTAGTGTTTCTCTAATCTCACGATGTTTTTTGGTGGTTGGCTCCACCACATTTCATTTCATTCATTCATGCACTTCGTTTATTTAGTTGTTCTACTCATCATTGCATTCCATCAGTTCATTGTTCATTTCATTACACCTACTGCTACTCTCTATCCAGGGAGAAGACGCTACGCTGTGGGACTACTAAGCCGCGACACTGCCACGAAGAGCCTCCTGCCCACTGTTCAGCCCCCTCATTCCGCCTCGGGGGAAAAAGTATGACGGCAAAGCAAGAGAAAGACTCACAAGGACAACCACGTCCTCCATACGGGACTACTCCGCAACAATCCGCCACCGCAGAATAACGAGGGGGTCTTACCCCGAGGGCACAACGATCGCGCCGCCATGCACCGACGAAAGAAAAGGTGCTACCCATCTACCACATCACGGATGTGACACTGAGATAATAGACTAGAGGGTGGACTCCCACCACTCTCACCCACCGGGACATAGAAGGCATCCACGCCAACCATCAGCCGTGCCAAGTTCCTGGACTGACCATCCAAAGGGATACGACGAGAACCTCGCGTCCCTAACAGACCCAACTGGTCCAGCGCTCCCTCCCACGTTCGCTTGTACATCTGGTACCAACGCTCCCAAGCGTCTTCATGTTCACTGTCCTCCCGCTCCGCCTCTGCTCTCAACCAGGCTAGCTCCCCGGCTCGCCCTTCGTGCTGTCGCCACAAGGCCAACAGAATACCACCGTACCCAAAGGCCAACCTGTCCTTCGGTCCTTCCGACTCCGCCACAGGCGGAAGAATCCTGATCTCATCCTTCCGAGCACGCACCCATTCCACCAGGTCGCAAAGGCCTGCCCCGACCACAGCGGGGACAAGAGAAGCTGACACTAGAGACCGGTCCTCCGGACGACCACAGCGCCGCACCAGATCCACCACCGCGGAAAACGTGGTGTCCCACTCAACCGGGCGTAAAGACGCCCCCAAGACCAGAAACTCTGCCCTCTCCGATCCAAGACGGCTCCCCTTGGCTCCCGCACAAATCGTCCTGGCACCATAGTACCAGACTGCCGCAGATAGCGGCATAGACACATCCGCCGCCAGGCGGTCTGACGCACAAATGCTCAAGTTGCTCACCCGCACAAAAAGCCACAATCCATGGGCCTGCTCGCCCCGCACGGTCACAGCCCTCTCGTCCTCCATCCTCTGTCGTCCACTCTGTCTTGTCGCCTCCGCCGCTTGGTTTTCTCCGAAAATGAATGAGGAAGAAAGAGAACTCCTTTGCTCTGTTCTTGGAAGGGCCCCAGCCCTTCCTTTGTACTTCCAAGGAATGTGCGGATTGTGTGCACGCACACTAATCCTTTTTCGGTGTTCGAACTGGGCCAGCAGGCCCACTTCTCATTGGGTAGCGAGGTAGGTCCAAGGACCCACTCTCGTCAACGGTCAACGCCCATCTTACAAGTGAATCATACAGAGCTCGCACCAAATGCTCGCTAGATGGGCGTTCTGATTCGCTCAAATCGCGAAATATTCCCTGTCGTATCCACTTTGGTCAACGAACTTCGTTGACGACGACCCCTTGGCTCGCCGTCGCCTCGTCCGTCTGTTGGTCACGCGCCATGCCACCTTCGGCGTCAGCCACGCTCCCACACTCTGTGTTTGTTGTTGCATAGCCATGGTTTCTCTTTGCAGTAGAAAATATGATTTCATCATTTTACTCTCGTAGTTATTCGCCACGTCGCTACGCTCGTGTGGCACAGGGCTGCCGCCCCGTACCCCGCCGATCCGGAACTCTAGCCATCTTTTCTGACAGCATGCGGATTAAGTAATAAAAGCATGTTTTAGGACATGCATCTCGCACAGCTTATGTGAAGTCAGCCACACACAGTGTTTCTCTAATCTCACGATTCTTCTTGGTGTTTCGCTCCAACACCATTTGATTGTTCCACACATCATTGCACTGCACTATCTGTTCATTTCATCTCACTCATGCTACCACGTCTACGACGGCTTGTAGGAGAACCCACAAACTGTTCTACATCATCGACAATCATCTCATCCTGTATCGCACGCTCCAGGGTCGCAAACGACGGCTCCTCCTCAAAGAGACACACGCATCTCCCCTGCCGTAACACGTCCCGCGTGCACTCGCGTACCAAGGCGGGGACAACCTCATCACCTCGGCGCAAATTCAGCCACAATGCTCGCGCCACCAGAGGAAAAGGCTGGACAATCCTGTCCGCGAAGACACACTCCGCAGCCCTCATATCCGTGCACTGCCGTATCCAATAGCCGACGAGATCCTCCTCATCTACCACGACCAGCTTGAACCCAAGCTTGGGACATTCTACATCCTCACGGCTAGGCCGTCCTGTGCGCAGCACATACTGCAAACGACGCACCCGCCCGGGCTGCTCCTCCAGGTCCTGCATCTCTTGACAACCCAACCTCGACGTCAGGGTGTGTATCAGGTGGCCAACATTGGTCCCACCACTGCACGGCTCAAAAGCCGCCTGCCAAGTCATAAGAATCGTGAGGAACTCCTCCCTCCTGCTCTGTCTCTCGCCGCAGTCGAACAGGCCGGCTACACAGCCACGTGTACCGTCCAACGCACTAAGAAAAGATCGGACATCCTCCTTCTCCATGAGCCCTGTCTCCGCCAGCCACTCCTCCACACAGGAGTAATAGTATCCAGCCTTCGTATACCTGTCACTAACGTCCAGCAGCCTCTGCATGTCCCCCACCGGGTCATCTTCCTGGGTATCCTCACCCAAGCGCCGCAACTCGTAAGCGACGCACTGTCGCCTAGCTCTCACCTCCGCATCCCATGCGACATCACTCACAACAGAGACATCCTCCTCCGATGCTGTCCTCATCTCTTCCAGCGGCCCCACGCCGGTCTCAGGCTCCTCCGTCCCATCTAACAGTCCTTCCTCCCAGGACGAGGAAGACGAAGAGGACCGAACACGCTCCTCCTCTCTGCTGCCCTGCATCATTGCAGACACCTCTTCGAGGATGCACACGTACTCCGTCTCCCCTTCTGCCGAAGGACAAGAAAAGGAAAATGAAAGGACAACGATCCTCTTGTTGTCGCACTCCGTAGTGTCGCTCTGCTTGCTGTTTTTCCGCCCGAAAATAAAAAAGGAGGGAAGAATGAGCTCCGCTGCCTCTCCCTGGGGAGGGTGCACACCCTCCCTTTGTAGTTTGCCAAGTAGGCAGCAACTGACCCAGTTGCATGCCCAAAGAGTAACGAAACTGGGCCACCAGCCCCGTTTCTGATAGGTGGAGCGGTAGGGTCCAGGGACCCACCCGCGTCAACGGTCAACGCCCATCTTACAAGTGAATCATACAGAGCTCGCACCAAATGCTCGCTAGATGGGCGTTCTGATTCGTCCAAAGGCCAAATTATTCCCTGTCGTATCCACTTTGGTCAACGAACTTCGTTGACGACGACCCCTTGGCTCGCCGTCGCCTCGTCCGTCTGTTGGTCACGCGCCATGCCACCTTCGGCGTCAGCCACGCTCCCACACTCTGTGTTTGTTGTTGCATAGCCATGGTTTCTCTTTGCAGTAGAAAATATGATTTCATCATCTCACTTCCGTGGTTATTCGCCACGTCGCTACGCTCGTGTGGCACAGGGCTGCCGCCCCGTACCCCGCGGTTCCGGAAAAGAAGTACCTCTTTTTAAGGAATTTATCTGCACAAGCAGGGTAAAAGCATGTCTTAGGACACGCATCTTGGTGGGGCAAAGTGAGGCCAGCCACTTTGAGTGTTTTGCACATCTCGTGATAATTTTGGGAGGTTGGTGCACCACTAAGCGCACCAGATTCTATTGTTCTACTCGCGTCACGTACACGAACGCTATCTAAGCCTGTGCACCGCACCAACGCCTGCTCTGCTCTATGCCACGCACCGAATCATCACGCTGCTACCATTCCATTACCCAAGTCATATCAAAAGATCACGTCGCATCCAAGCTCCAGCTGAAAATCAAAGTCGCCACAGTCGAAAGGGAGCTCTGTCGAGAAGTCAAACTGATGTGGCCCACTCAGCACGTCGAACCAAGTCGACGAGACAGGTAGGGAAGGCGGAGCCGGCTCCTGGACACACCCAGCCAACCCAAGGCTGTAGCCGTCCGCACCGGGAGGAATATCGTCGAGGAAGAGTCCGGAGAATGGGTCCTCCGACACACTGGGGATAGTAAGCGCCTGCTGCTCATAGTCTCCACGCTCCCTGTCAGTCTCGGGACATAACGGTGTCCGCCGCCCGCGTACTCACCTGTCTGTTGGACATCCTCCCCAATCTCAGCCCGTACCTGGTCAGACTGGAACATGACAATCATGTCATCCCAATCCTTAGGCGCTACCCTGCGTCGATCAGGCGACATCCTGTGCCCTCCCTTCTTATCCTTGTTCGCGTCCATGCGTGTCCTCAGGCTCCGCCGGAGGGCCGTATCAAGGCCCTTACTGCTCCCAAAAGTGCGCGACCCGTCCCGGATGGCCGTGGCCCACCGCTGAAGAAAGACGACAGCCCGCTCGTTCCTCTCCGGCCACTTCAAGTGGCACAGTCCCTCTGCCCCCGGGATTTTCCACTGCTTATGCCGCGCGACTGCGCGTATGCGCTGCCTCTGGGCACAGACGACCAAAGCGTCAAACCGGATCCTCCCATTCTGCTCCACGACCCGATTCGCATATATAGTGCAGGTGCTGCCGAACACCTGCTGACATCGTGAAGAAAACGAGGAATAGTCCTCTTCCTCTCCCGCTCGGAACGAGACCCAGAAGACCAAACTCCGTTGTCGAGGGACAGAAATAAAATCCATAGCTCCGCTGGGTATGTCGTGGTGTCGCGGTGTCGCGGTGTCGCTTCTTCCAAGCTGCGTGTTCGATCATACGTCCCGTAAGGGAGAGCTCCAAGCCCAACCGAAGCGGGCGGCCCACCCTTATTATACACAAGCAGTGCCAAATGCACAAAGGCAAACTGCTCTTTGTCCCCCAGAGCAAGCTCCGCACCCTGCATCGGCCCCCTCGGGCCAATCAGCCCCCGGCACATGGTCTCCGACCCACTCTCCGCGTTTCGCGCTAGCCAAGTCCGGGTTCCAGTGGCCACAGCCACCGTCCCCTTCAATAGTACGACTGTTCGCCCTTCGGCTCCCAGTCTATTAGGTAAGCGGTAGGGTCAGGACCCACCCGCGTCAACGGTCAACGCCCATCTTACAAGTGAATCATACAGAGCGCCCATACAAATGGTCGCGAAGATGGGCTGTGATTCGTCCAATCGACGAAATATTCCCTGTCGTATCCACTTTGGTCAACGAACTTCGTTGACGACGACCCCTTGGCTCGCCGTCGCCTCGTCCGTCTGTTGGTCACGCGCCATGCCACCTTCGGCGTCAGCCACGCTCCCACACTCTGTGTTTGTTGTTGCATAGCCATGGTGTTTCTACTAGTAGTAACAATATGATTTCATCATTGCTCTTCGAGGTGAGCGCCAGGGTCCTGCGGACCACGGCACAGGGGGCTTCCCCCTGTAACCCCTTCTTTCCGGAATAGAAGTACCTCTTTTTGACAGCATGCAGTCAAAGTAATAAAGGCATGCTCTAGGGCACGCATCTCTGGATTTTTGAAGCCACCACAGGTGACTGTTTGAGTCATCTCACGATATTCTCTGGTGGTTAGTACACCACTGCACACGTTAATTGTTCCACAAAAGAAAACCCTTTCACACTCGTCCCACAGCTGTTATGAGAACGCAATCGCACATCACTGGTCCCAATAGGTCCCACCGCACGATAGAGAACGCCCGGTCTCTTACAAGAAGAGTATCTCGGATACAAAGGGTAATACCTATAACAATGCACCAGACGGACATCCATATCCTAGCAGGACTGGGAAAGCCCCAGCTACTTCTCCGCGACAGTACAATGTACCGCACCTCCCCGTGGAGTGCAGTCCAGCAGCAGAAGAGACAGGAAGAAGAACCGACCTCCCCTCCCGGTTGGCCAGTGAGACCACAAGAGCGTCCCAGCGCTCGTGAAGGGAAGACGCCTCAGCCCCGCACGTGGCTGATCAAGACTGCCTCAGCAAATAACCACCTCCTCCCGAGGACAAGACAACCCGACACCTCCACGTCACATGTTCCGGATGTTCGGCGCATGACGGAACTGATCAAGCTCGTTAGCCTGTTACCCATAACAGAAACCGCCCCGGACGACACCACGGCAGGAACGCATACTCACCTCGCCAGAGTCGATGACAAGCATACCATCTCTCGTCACTCCCATTCCCGTACCCATGTCCCATACAGTCTGGAAACTCGGCGCCAAGCCTCATGACTAGAAAACGCAACCGGACAGGTGCTCTGGTAGTACCACTCCATGGCTCGGCCAGCAGTAGCCTGCTTGATAACGCACGTGCATGTGCTAGGAGGACAGCCCTTCGACTGATCTCCGCCAGATGAAACAGACGTATCCGTCATCGGATCCCTAGCGTGATCGCCAGCAAGAATGCCTACCAATGGTCAGTAGCCGACGCTGTCGCAACCCGTGCCCTCACACGGTCGCCCCACGGGCCAACAAACACTCCAACGGCCGCCGCAACGGCCGCCACACCTGCGGCCACACCTAAAGACAGGGGGGTTCCTCCGTCCTTCCACCAAATACCGCACACTCCGCTCACTCACAGATAATCGTCCCGTCACTATCGTCCTCCGGTCTGATATAGGCGCCACAGCGCTCTCGTGAAAAATACGCGCTTTCGTGATATTCTGGGAAGCTGTTCCCCAGCTACTCTGCCTAACAGTCCAAAGCCCTCCGGCTTTTTATGGCCAGCGCCCCAGCGCCAGAAAAAACTGCAACCCTCTGCAGTCACCCTCCAGGCCCCGCCCATCGCCTCCCCCTCGGGCCAATCAGCCCCGGCACATGGTCTCCGACCCACTCTCCGCGTTTCGCGCTAGCCAAGTCCGGGTTCCAGTGGCCACAGCCACCGTCCCCTTCAATAGTACGACTGTTCGCCCTTCGGCTCCCAGTCTATTAGGTAAGCGGTAGGGTCAGGACCCACCCGCGTCAACGGTCAACGCCCATCTTACAAGTGAATCATACAGAGCTCGCACCAAATGCTCGCTAGATGGGCGTTCTGATTCGCTCAAATCGCGAAATATTCCCTGTCGTATCCACTTTGGTCAACGAACTTCGTTGACGACGACCCCTTGGCTCGCCGTCGCCTCGTCCGTCTGTTGGTCACGCGCCATGCACCTTCGGCGTCAGCCACGCTCCCAGCTTCCAGCGTTGTTGTTGTTATAGCCATATGTTCTACTAGTAGTAACAGCATTCATTCTTCATGTCTCTTCGAGTTATTCGCCACGGCTGCTGCGCAGCTAGTGGCACAGGGCTGCCGCCCGTACCCCGCGGTTCCGGAAAGGAAGTACCTCTTTTTAACATTACTAGCGGTAATCGTAGGGTAAAAGCATGCTTACACAGCACGCATGGTCCCGGGAGAAGCGAGGCACACTTGTTGGTGCCGTCGAAGGGGGTAGGAGCTTAGGGTTAGAAAAAGGGAGCGCCCCAGCGCGACCCAGGGCCTCTAGAAAAGATACTCTCATCACTTCGTTTGTGCATGCACTCTGTTCATCTCATTCATTTCGTTTACTCATTATTTGTTCATCACTCTGTTCTTTTGTCATGTTGTTTTACTCCGTCTATCTATCTGTGTGGCCCACTGTTCTCACGACACTACTGCTGATGAAAGTCGCTCCCGCTCCCAGGTCTACCACGACCACTGCACGACAATACCTGCCTGTCGATCCCAAGACCCAGAGGCAAAGGCCTGCACATACTCCTCCGTCCAGTCCTCGCCGGGACCCAGCTGCGCCTGGTAAAAGTGCCAAAAGCCGGCACCGCCATCCGAGTAGGGCTCAAGCCCATACATCGTATCCGGGAAACGAAAGGCATCCACCACGACCGATCGAGTTTCCTCCCCGTCGTCTCTGTGACTCGTAGTCTCCACAAGAGCAAAGTATCCTCCGTCCGTACCGACATCAATGCACGCCCACACCTGCACGTGCTTCACCCAGCCTCCACTGGTCTCGACACTCAGAAGTGTCAACCGTTCGTGCCAGGGAAACACCCTGCCCTCACCAAACCGGGACAGAAACCGGTCAGTCTCCACGGCCAACCGCCGGAACTCACCCATGATCAAGGCACCCATGTGCCGATAGTCGTCCTCTGCCTCCTGGTCTCGCCGCCAGGCTCGACAGTACTGTAGCTCCTCCTCTCCCTCCCGGGAGAAGTCGAACTGTAGGTCACCACTGCAGACCACCACCGGGGTCCACCGAAGCTTCTCTGGACTTCCACACTCCAGTGAAACCAAACGGCGCCCCAACGCCTGGATCTCAAGACTCACCTCCGGCCTCAGGTCCTCCCAGTCTCCTTCCCAAGGAAACCAGCGAACCTGCAGTTCGCCCAGCGGGGAACACCCCGCCACTCTACACGGCCCAACGCCGTGACCAGCCACAGGCTGAGAGGCATCCCCCTCGGTAACACAGCGCTCCTCAGCGCCACACACCAGACCGGGACTCTCCTCCCGCTCCATCAAAGACCCTCCAGGGTCCTCTGCGCAACGCATCCTCTTCAACGGGCCGTCCAGGACGGTCCCTATCCTCCGCTTCACCCCTCTCGGGGCACCGTACCGACCCTCATCGCGCTCGGTCATACGTGCACAACCCTCCGTGTACTGTTCTCGTCCCTGCTGTCGTTCCACTGTGGTTTTCTCTCCGAGGAAAAAAGAAGAGAAGAAATGTCCTGCCAGTTCATTCTTCGAGGAGGGCTCCCGCCCTCCCTTTGTACTTTCAAGGTTGGTCCAAAGTGGCCCACTTTGTCCCTTTTAGGTAACGGATTGTGGCCAGCAGGCCACATCCTCATAGGTCAAACAGGTAGGTCCGAAGGACCCACTCTGTCAACGGTCAACGCCCATCTTACAAGTGAATCATACAGAGCTCGCACCAAATGCTCGCTAGATGGGCGTTCTGATTCGTCCAAAGGCCAAATTATTCCCTGTCGTATCCACTTTGGTCAACGAACTTCGTTGACGACGACCCCTTGGCTCGCCGTCGCCTCGTCCGTCTGTTGGTCACGCGCCATGCCACCTTCGGCGTCAGCCACGCTCCCACACTCTGTGTTTGTTGTTGCATATCCATGGTTTCTCTTTGCAGTAGAAAATATGATTTCATCATTTTACTCTCGTAGTTATTCGCCACGTCGCTACGCTCGTGTGGCACAGGGCTGCCGCCCCGTACCCGCCGATCCGGAATCTTAGCTCTCTTTTCCGACAGCATGTGGTACCAGACTATCAGCAGTCTTTAGCTGCACGCATCTTGTTGGGGCAAACGAAGCCCCTCACTGTTAGTGTTTTACAGATCTCACGATCCTTTTTGGTGTTTTCCACCACACATGTTCTCACACATTCAATCACTCTGTTCATTTGCTAGTTCTACTGGTTCGCTCGGCTCATCTGTTATCTGTTCATCGCACTGCTGCTCTAGATGCAATTCTCGACTACCGGTTCGTCCCTCCACTACTGCATTCCAAGCGGAAGAGGCTACCTCCATGTACGTGACACGCCATCCTTGCCGAACCTGCGGGAACTAGCACGCTCCCTCTCCGGCCTCCTGCACAGAACTGCGCCCAAGCGCAGACACGCCAACATACCCGTCCCGGATGACAAAACCACTCTGGTCCAACAAATCGACCAGCTGCATCACCGAGATACGCATCTCGTTCCAAAAAGCCATCAGCACACTGCTCTCCAGTCGCGCAGCAATCGTCCCCACGACAATAACTGTCATCACCAGGCTCGCCACGACCCACTGCTCTATCGTCGCATGCCTGTCCAACAGGTGGAAGAGGTCAGACGCCCTCACCGGGCCATCCACTGCACACAACTGCGCAGCCGAAAGCTGACACCCACTCCGTCCTGTGAGCTGCCGCACCCGAATCTCCTGCACCTCCGTCAGCTCGCGACTACCAGGCGCCGCCACCAACGCGGCATAATAGCCCGCGATCTCGTGAACCTCCCGGAAGGTAAACGCCGTCTCTCTTCTCCGCACAGACAATCCCGTACGAGTGCCCTCCAACGGTACCCCATAGCTACGGCACCACGACCGCACTATGGTACTGAGCTGTGCCTCCGACACATCAGGGTAGCGGGCAGAGCCCACGAGGAATCCCATCACCTTCTGCAGAAGAACAGCCAGCTCCGCACCGGCCTTCCTTGCCGTGTCCCGCTCAGAGAGCAAGGGCGCAGCCACCCTCGGCAGCGACAGCAAATACACATCTCGCTCCACCCGTCCCAGGTGTCCGACAGAGTCCCTCCGGTTCACAAACCATCCACCATGTGCCACATCAGAAATCGGCAACTCCTTGCACAGAGGGCTCCCCCTCCGGCTCCACTCCGCCAACCAGTCCTCGTGCACCAGCTTCTCCGCCGCATCTACCGCACTAAGGCGGAAAGGAAACGCCACCGGCGATGACGAGCCCCCGGGCTCTGTGCTACACGAAACGTACTCGTCATACTCGCCCACAGCTTCTCCGTCCTGCCCGGCCGCATCTCGTCCCGATCGTCGCTCCGCTATCGTTTCCCCCGGGGAAATGAAGAGGAAGAAAGAGAGATCCTCTGCTCCTTCTGGGAAGGGTGCACACCCTTCCTTTGTACTTTCCATGTGGGAGAAAGTGTGCCCACTTTCATCCCTTTTCGGTAACGGAACTGGGCCACCAGGCCCCGTTCCTATAGGTCAGCCAGTCGGGGTCCAAGGACCCACTCTGTCAACGGTCAACGCCCATCTTACAAGTGAATCATACAGAGCGCCCATACAAATGGTCGCGAAGATGGGCTGTGATTCGTCCAATCGACGAAATATTCCCTGTCGTATCCACTTTGGTCAACGAACTTCGTTGACGACGACCCCTTGGCTCGCCGTCGCCTCGTCCGTCTGTTGGTCACGCGCCATGCCACCTTCGGCGTCAGCCACGCTCCCACACTCTGTGTTTGTTGTTGCATATCCATGGTTTCTCTTTGCAGTAGAAAATATGATTTCATCATTTTACTCTCGTAGTTATTCGCCACGTCGCTACGCTCGTGTGGCACAGGGCTGCCGCCCCGTACCCCGCGGTTCCGGAAAGGAAGTACCTCTTTTTAACATTACTAGCGGTAATCGTAGGGTAAAAGCATGCTTACACAGCACGCATGGTCCCGGGAGAAGCGAGGCACACTTGTTGGTGCCGTCGAAGGGGGTAGGAGCTTAGGGTTAGAAAAAAGGGAGCGCCCCAGCGCGACCCAGGGCCTCTAGAAAAGATACTTTGGTCACTCTGTTTATCACTCATTTCATTGCATTCATTTCGTGTATTGTTCAAGTTCATTCTATTCACTGCTGTTCTACTGGTTCATACCTCCACTTCGTGTAGCTGTCCACCAGTGCACGTACCCGCTGCACCTGTCTAGACACACTGCCGACAGGAATGATCGCTCGTCCCCTCGCGCACCTAAGCAAAAAGTCCACCGCTTTACCAAGCCACGGTCTCCAGACCCTGCTTCGCTACTCTGGTTCCTCCGCACCTCCTGTGCTTCGAGCCATGCTGCCACAAGCAGACCATCCTGAAGATCATCCGAGACAGCTCACGCTGCCAAAGAAGAAGTACCTCCATGCGAAGGCCCCGCCGTGCCTTCCTACCTCTTGCCATCTACAGGCCATCAGTCATAGAGATGACTCAGCCTCACAAAGTCCTCCGCCTCCGGCTTGTGATCCGACGACACGGGGCTGTGTCTCGTCCCAGCCACCGAATAAGCATAGCAGTCAGGGAAGACGTACACCTGTACATACCGATAAGGCAAAGGGAGGCTCCGCGGCTCCCACATCACCATCTCCCTCTGGTAAAGGTAGTCCTGCAAGCCCCTCGGGCACCGATCCTCCGAAGGATTGTTCACAAAACACCCCAGGTGGTCATACTCAGGCCGGAGATAAGTAAAGGGAACCTGAGCACGCTTCAGGTGCTCCAAGATGAACGGGGTCATCTCGTACAAGACGTGGCGCCCCTGCGCCAGTGTGTCAGTTCGCTCCTCCACAATCCTCTGCTCCGTATTGTATTCCAGCTCCCGCTGATTAGGAGGCTTCCCCGGCACCTCCCAACGTGTGATCCGACTGCACTGCGACGGGTGCAGTCCAGGCAAGCGCGCCAGCGCCACAGCTGACATGTGTGGGAACAACACCACCACCGCCGGTCCCTGCGGTGTCCGTACAAACGAGGCAGGAAGCTCGCCAGCCACTCCCTCCGGGACACAACTCACATCTCCTCTCCCCGAGTAGATCTCCTCCTGAATGGGTGCGAACAGCACCCTGCCCTCCGACTCCGTCACCTGTCGTGTCATCCGCCCACTCCTCGCTCCCGCTAGCATAGGCACCGAGTGCACCGACGCCCCCGTCTTGTTCATCCTGTCTGCCGCCCTGCTGTTGTTTCTCTCCGAGGAAAAAGAGGAAGAGAAATGAAATCCTTTGCCTTCTCTTGGGAAGGGTGCACACCCTTCCTTTGTACTTTCCATGTGGGAGAAAGTGTGCCCACTTTCATCCCTTTTCGGTAACGGAACTGGGCCACCAGGCCCCGTTCCTATAGGTCAGCCAGTCGGGGTCCAAGGACCCACTCTGTCAACGGTCAACGCCCATCTTACAAGTGAATCATACAGAGCTCGCACCAAATGCTCGCTAGATGGGCGTTCTGATTCGTCCAAAGGCCAAATTATTCCCTGTCGTATCCACTTTGGTCAACGAACTTCGTTGACGACGACCCCTTGGCTCGCCGTCGCCTCGTCCGTCTGTTGGTCACGCGCCATGCCACCTTCGGCGTCAGCCACGCTCCCACACTCTGTGTTTGTTGTTGCATAGCCATGGTTTCTCTCTGTGAGTAGAAAATATGATTTCATCATTTTACTCTCGTAGTTATTCGCCACGTCGCTACGCTCGTGTGGCACAGGGCTGCCGCCCCGTACCCCGCGGTTCCGGAAAGGAAGTACCTCTTTTTAACATTACTAGCGGTAATCGTAGGGTAAAAGCATGCTTACACAGCACGCATGGTCCCGGGAGAAGCGAGGCACACTTGTTGGTGCCGTCGAAGGGGGTAGGAGCTTAGGGTTAGAAAAAAGGGAGCGCCCCAGCGCGACCCAGGGCCTCTAGAAAAGATACTTTGGTCACTCTGTTTGTTCCAAGTGCACTCATTCCATTCATTTGTTTATTCTACAAGTTCATTCATGTGGTTACTGTTTGGTTCAATCACGCTGTTCATTACATTACTCGCTGTACATTTCGCTTCGTGGTGTAGCAAGCCCAGCTAGTGGGACTCCGTCACCTGCCAAGGGTAAACATCCATCCAACCTGTATGAATTTCCTCCCATCCGTGCACGGATCCAGGATCACGGGGAAGGCGCAAAGCAACACTGCTATTTGCATACCTCGTAGGCGACACTCGACAAGTCGCTCGACATCCATCCCCACCCCTCACGGGAGGGTACGAACACTGGCCATCTGCAAGGCCACAATAACCGGACGGGCCCCGTCCATGCGCACCCACGCGTGCAGATCCCCCCAGAATCCAAGACAACTAGAAGATAAACCTCCTCGTTCTCCTCCTCCGGCGTCCCTTCGGTCCTGCTGCCACTCTCATCAGCATCAAAGTGAGGTCTCGCCCTGCCGAGACAAACCCCCTCGACACGACATGTCCACCGAGGCCGTGCACAACAAGCGCACGACAGACGCACAACAGCAGGAAGACACCACCGTCTCCTGCATACACATAGGGACGTGGGGACACCCCACAACAACATGACCGCTCCACGCGCACCGAAAGGTCCCCGCACAATACGAGTGACTCCGACGCAAGTTCGCCTCCTGCGACTCCTCCACCACATGGAGGGGATTGAAGCAAGCCGCCCGGCGGCAAAGATGAGAAGCTACCATGCCACGCAGCACATCCCGCCCATGCCAGGCCGTGAAGGCAACCCGATGCAGAAGCACGCTGATCTTACCCTCCGGTGTCGTCGCGCACGCACTCCCATAGCCGCCCCGCGTCAGGCTGCTCTTCGCCAGCCAGCAACCCGTCTCCGAAAAGTCGATCTCCTCCCGGACAAACATCCTTCCCAACACCCGTTGGCACACGCCCACTCCCGGGCTCTCGTGGTACAGTCGCACTCGCGACATCTCCTCCCCAGGAGAGAAAGAGCACACTATCCGTCCGTATGCCTCACCCGGCATCCCATCCTCCGGAAAGAAAGAAAAAAGACAACGCTCCCCTCTGTTGTCGACTCCGTGTCCCCGCTCCGCTGTTGTTTCTCTCCGAGGAAAAAGAAAGAAGAGAATTGCCAGTCCCTGTTCATCTCTAGAAGGGGCCGCAGCCCCTTCTCTTGTATCTTCGAAGGTGGGTACCAGTGTGCCCACTGGATACCCTTTTAGGTAGTCGGAACTGGGCCACCAGGCCCCGTTCCTATAGGTCAGCCAGTCGGGGTCCAAGGACCCACTCTGTCAACGGTCAACGCCCATCTTACAAGTGAATCATACAGAGCTCGCACCAAATGCTCGCTAGATGGGCGTTCTGATTCGCTCAAATCGCGAAATATTCCCTGTCGTATCCACTTTGGTCAACGAACTTCGTTGACGACGACCCCTTGGCTCGCCGTCGCCTCGTCCGTCTGTTGGTCACGCGCCATGCCACCTTCGGCGTCAGCCACGCTCCCACACTCTGTGTTTGTTGTTGCATAGCCATGGTTTCTCTTTGCAGTAGAAAATATGATTTCATCATCTCACTTCCGTGGTTATTCGCCACGTCGCTACGCTCGTGTGGCACAGGGCTGCCGCCCCGTACCCCGCGGTTCCGGAAAAGAAGTACCTCTTTTTAACATTACTAGCGGTAATCGTAGGGTAAAAGCATGCTTACACAGCACGCATGGTCCCGGGAGAAGCGAGGCACACTTGTTGGTGCCGTCGAAGGGGGTAGGAGCTTAGGGTTAGAAAAAAGGGAGCGCCCCAGCGCGACCCAGGGCCTCTAGAAAAGATACTCTCATCACTCTGTTTTACGTACATCACTCATTTCATTTCGTGGTTTGTTCTACCAGTTCATTCTATTCATTTCATTCATGGTTCTGTCTCTGTCTGTAGTCGGTGCATCTTCGCACCTGCTGGGTGGGGGAAGTGAGGCCCCACTGCACTAGTGTTGGAGTCATCTCGCGATGTTCTGTGGTGGTTCGTGCACCACCAGGGAAAGAAAGAAGAGAGATCAGCTCTCTCCCGTAGCACCTCGCGTCGCCAGGCGCACCCACTGCCTGCTACCCCGCAGCCTGGTCTACAAGGAAGGCACGTTCCACTGTGTTGGATACCATACTACAGTCTCCCCCATAGAGACTACCCAGCTTGGTAAGCTGCATCAGCACGTATGCCAGCTGAAAGACACCCAGGTCCTTGGCCGTCCCTCGCCACTGGAATAACTTCAGCTTCGGACAGGAACACCATCCGAGATTCCTGCTCGCCGAGCAATGGCTACCAAGACTCATCATGTACTCATCCACACTCCTCGTCGCATCCCTGATACGCCTCCAGCATGCACTCCGCAGCTCCTCGTTTACCGGCCCGGAACACTGCACTCCCCAGTGGAACACCTGCACCGGGGTCAGGCTCCCATCGCCTGCCATCTCCTCGGCTCGGATCTCCTCGACAGTAACTGCCACACAACAATCCCGGCACCAAGCCTCCAGGGCTTCTGACATCTCTGTGCCCATCGCTGCCCACTCCGTAGAGAGCTCCGCTCGATGTTTGTCGAAAATAGCCATAATCTTGCTCTGCAGTACACTCCCGCTCGGTCGCACAGTCCCCGGACGTACAACCCTCCTCATGTGAAGAGGAAGAAGAGGTCGAAGCCTCACCAGGCGCGCCACCCCCGTGGCCTGCTGCCCCTCCGTACCCGTCGTGGCCATCTCGTCTCACTGTCGTTCGTGTCGCCGATGCACGCAGTGCATCAGTAGGCTTGGTTCTTGGCCACAAGAACATAAGAAGAAAAAAATAGGAAGCCCCCAGGCTTCCGTCTGTCCTCTCGTCCCTCCTACTCACCTGTTCGTCCGTGCCCAAGGCACTGCTCTCCTGAGGGAGAAAAGAAGAAAAGTAAAGAACAACGATCCTCCTGTTGTTGCGTCCCTCCTGCCGTGTCCACTGTTTTCCTCCAGGAATGAAGGAAAAGAAGGAAAGAACTGCTCGACCCTCCCATTCTTCGAAGGGGCACCAGCCCCTTCTCTTGTAGTTTCAAAGTCGGGTGCAGTGTGCCCACTGCAACCCTAAAAGGGTAACGGATTGTGGCCAGCAGGCCACATCCTCATAGGTCAGCCAGTCGGGGTCCAAGGACCCACTCTGTCAACGGTCAACGCCCATCTTACAAGTGAATCATACAGAGCTCGCACCAAATGCTCGCTAGATGGGCGTTCTGATTCGCTCAAATCGCGAAATATTCCCTGTCGTATCCACTTTGGTCAACGAACTTCGTTGACGACGACCCCTTGGCTCGCCGTCGCCTCGTCCGTCTGTTGGTCACGCGCCATGCCACCTTCGGCGTCAGCCACGCTCCCACACTCTGTGTTTGTTGTTGCATAGCCATGGTTTCTCTTTGCAGTAGAAAATATGATTTCATCATTTTACTCTCGTAGTTATTCGCCACGTCGCTACGCTCGTGTGGCACAGGGCTGCCGCCCCGTACCCCGCGGTTCCGGAAAGGAAGTACCTCTTTTTAACATTACTAGCGGTAATCGTAGGGTAAAAGCATGCTTACACAGCACGCATGGTCCCGGGAGAAGCGAGGCACACTTGTTGGTGCCGTCGAAGGGGGTAGGAGCTTAGGGTTAGAAAAAAGGGAGCGCCCCAGCGCGACCCAGGGCCTCTAGAAAAGTCACTGACTCGGCATGCACTCATTTCATCTCGTTCATTTATTGTTCCAGTTCATTTGTTCATTTCATTCATTGTTTGTCTGGTTCCATCACTCTGTTCTTTTCACTCATGCTATCGCGTGATGCACTACACATGAAACTCGGCACAGCCCCCGCGTCACTCGTCTGCCACCTACACTGTTGGTAAAGACCCCGCCTGGTTCTTGGTGCACGCCATCTGCGCACCAGTAGTTGATCTGTGAAGCCAACGAAAGAGCAGCCCTGCTCCGGCCTCCACCTCAGTGGAATGAAGAATCTTGGCAACCATCCGTATGGTCATCAAAGCATAGGCCATGCTGGCCAGGTGCCACTGCCTCTGCGTGCAGTGTGCATCGAATAAGTGTCGCAGGTCCTCCAACCGGCCCACCGGGTCAGACGACGAGTGCCTCCAGCACCCAGGACAAGAGGAGCTACCGCCCCGCAGAACACCCGCGACGCGCTCACCCAGAAGATCCGCCTCCGTAACACCGCGCTGCTCCACCATCGTCATGGCCGAAAGAGTGTATGCCGCCGTGCACACAAGGAAGTCCCTGTACATAGCCTCTCGATCGAGGGGGATCGAGACACCGGGTCGACTATCCAAAGCCCACTCGTGGTCCCGCGCCCAGCGCAGAAGCGAAGTAGACAACAGCCGCTCCGCAGAAGAAGAAACGCACTCAGACCCTGGCTGAGCACATAACGCCGACACATGATCCAACATGGCCTGCAGCTCTCCGAGGACGCCCGAGCGGACAGCAGGATCCCCCTTCTCAACCTGTTCCAGACGGTCCCATACCCTCTGGGTTAGTCCAACGAAATGTCTCCCCACCTCCCGTGGCTCAGGGCTCGTCTCCTCCGCCCCTGCATCCTTCTCCCACACCATCTCCCTGGTTGTCCCTCCACGGTAGTGTTTCCCGTGGAGTAAAGGGGAAAAGAAGAGAGGAAGCCCCCAGGCTTCCGTCTGTCCTCACCAAGTCTGTCTGTTCATGCACCCCAAAGGTGCACAAACAAGGAAGGCAAACGCCTTCCTCTACCTCCTTCTCCGAAGAGAAACAAGACAATCTCCAATCCTTCCCACACATGGAGGAAGGGAAGTGCACACCCTCCGGTCGTGTGGCCAGTCCCTGCTGTCGCGCCGCGTGTTCCCCCGGGGAAAAAGGAAAGAAGAAATGAAATCCTCTGCATTCTTCCAGGAGGGCTCCCGCCCTCCCTTTGTACTTTCAAGGTTGGTCCAAAGTGGCCCACTTTGTCCCTTTTAGGTAACGGATTGTGGCCAGCAGGCCACATCCTCATAGGTCAGCCAGTCGTGGAGGCAGGCTCCACTCTGTCAACGGTCAACGCCCATCTTACAAGTGAATCATACAGAGCTCGCACCAAATGCTCGCTAGATGGGCGTTCTGATTCGCTCAAATCGCGAAATATTCCCTGTCGTATCCACTTTGGTCAACGAACTTCGTTGACGACGACCCCTTGGCTCGCCGTCGCCTCGTCCGTCTGTTGGTCACGCGCCATGCCACCTTCGGCGTCAGCCACGCTCCCACACTCTGTGTTTGTTGTTGCATAGCCATGGTTTCTCTCTGTGAGTAGAAAATATGATTTCATCATTTTACTCTCGTAGTTATTCGCCACGTCGCTACGCTCGTGTGGCACAGGGCTGCCGCCCCGTACCCCGCGGTTCCGGAAAGGAAGTACCTCTTTTTAACATTACTAGCGGTAATCGTAGGGTAAAAGCATGCTTACACAGCACGCATGGTCCCGGGAGAAGCGAGGCACACTTGTTGGTGCCGTCGAAGGGGGTAGGAGCTTAGGGTTAGAAAAAAGGGAGCGCCCCAGCGCGACCCAGGGCCTCTAGAAAAGTCACTGACTCGGCATGCACTCATTTCATCTCGTTCATTTATTGTTCCAGTTCATTCCATTCATGGTTGGTTCCACTGCTCACTCCGTTCATCGGATCATCCTACACTACCATACATACTCTGCCGCTTCACTACTCACGTCTGTCCACTCGACTTCAACGTCTGCGGGTGGTTCCCACGCTCGCTGCATCCCAGAACCTGGACCCCGGAAATACCGGAAAAGGGCCTCTGCCCCGGTTGCGACTGCGGCGGAGTCAAGCATACACGCTATGACCCGGATAGTGAGAAGGACACAGGCCATGCTGGCCAGGTGCCACTGCCTCTGCGTGCAGTGTGCATCGATCAAATGGTGCAGGTCCACCAACCTGCCAGAAACATCTTGCGGCGAGTGTCTCCAGCACATGGGACACAGGACAAACTGGCGCAACAAGCGGGCCACCTCCTCCCCCATCGGTTCCGCCGCTACCACAACGCGACGCTTCGCCAACTCCAAGCCTGGCATGATTTGTGCCACCGTGCACACAAGGAAGTCCCCCAGGACAGCTCCCCGATCCTCCCCGATCGAGGCCAACGGCCGACTAGCCATCGTCAGCCCATGAGCTCGCGCCCACTGAAGAAGCGACATCGACAACCACCGCTCCGCACCCGACGACGCAAGCGCACGCTCCGACACACTCATCGCTCCCACGTCATCCAACATGTCCTCCAGACACTGGACCATCGCCAAGCGAACATCGGGGTGCCCCCTCCGAATCTCTTCCAGCCTCTCCTCCGCGGCTGGAGTTAGTCCAACGAAGTACTGACCCACGACGCTCCGCCGGCACAGCTGTTCTACCTCCGTCATCTCGTCTCCTGTTGATGCACGCCAGTGCATCAGTAGGCTTGGTTCTTGGCCACAAGAACAAAGGAAGAAAAAATAGGAAGCCTCCAGGCTTCCGTCCGTACTCACCAAGAACTCCCGTTCCAGCACCTCCAAGGTGCACAGACAAGGAAGGCAGACGCCTTCCTCTACCTCCTCCTTCCTACCGGAAGTAGAGAAACACGACGATCCAGTCTCGTGAACGCTCCGCCTCTGTCGAGTAAGAAAAGAAAATGAACACCCTCCGGTCGTGTCTCAACTCCGTCCCGCCGCGCTGCTTGGTGTTTTCCCCCGGAAAAATAAAATAGAAGGGAAAGATTGTCCTGCCAGTCCAACTTCTGGGAGGGCTCCCGCCCTCCCTTTGTACTTTCAAGGTTGGTCCAAACTGACCCAGTTTGTCCCGATTAGGTAACGGATTGTGGCCAGCAGGCCACATCCTCATAGGTCAGCCAGTCGTGGAGGCAGGCTCCACTCTGTCAACGGTCAACGCCCATCTTACAAGTGAATCATACAGAGCTCGCACCAAATGCTCGCTAGATGGGCGTTCTGATTCGTCCAAAGGCCAAATTATTCCCTGTCGTATCCACTTTGGTCAACGAACTTCGTTGACGACGACCCCTTGGCTCGCCGTCGCCTCGTCCGTCTGTTGGTCACGCGCCATGCCACCTTCGGCGTCAGCCACGCTCCCACACTCTGTGTTTGTTGTTGCATATCCATGGTTTCTCTTTGCAGTAGAAAATATGATTTCATCATTTTACTCTCGTAGTTATTCGCCACGTCGCTACGCTCGTGTGGCACAGGGCTGCCGCCCCGTACCCCGCGGTTCCGGAAAGGAAGTACCTCTTTTTAACATTACTAGCGGTAATCGTAGGGTAAAAGCATGCTTACACAGCACGCATGGTCCCGGGAGAAGCGAGGCACACTTGTTGGTGCCGTCGAAGGGGGTAGGAGCTTAGGGTTAGAAAAAAGGGAGCGCCCCAGCGCGACCCAGGGCCTCTAGAAAAGATACTCTCATCACTTCGTTTGTGCATGCACTCTGTTCATCTCATTCATTTCATTCATGGTTCATTTGTTCATTCATTCTATTCATTTGTCATGTTGTTCTACTTTCTGCTTGTCTCCGGGCCAAGAATAATCTGACAGGTGCACATCGTCCCCACTCCGATGAGGCCCATGGTCGCACACCACCGCGGCTCCCGTCTACTGCATGACACGCCGAGTACTCCAGGCATGATCCGACCCAAGTCGGCAGAGAACCAAACAAGCCCGTCCCTCGCGAACCAGAACCCTCTGGACAAGAGAGAGGATGCGGCCCACATGGAAGTCCGCCCTACCCGTCCGCCGGAGGGAGAAGTACACGCGCTCCAGAGCGAGCAAGGCCGCGTTCAAGGCAACGAGAGACCGATCCCGCTCACTCCACTGCTCCTCTAGCATATGAAGCAACGCCTCCGTCGCCCCTACTCGAGATCCATACACCAGGCACCACTGGCAGGTACTAGACATCTCCACCGGAGACTCTTCTCGCAAGCGCTGCACCACCGCAGCTGGCCGCTCCTCCAAGTGATCAGCACCAAGAATCGCGTCGTGGACAGCCCCCAGCACGTCCAACCGATCATCCACGCTCCGCACGGGGGTCTCACCTACCTTCTTCTCCCCTCCAGGCACCTTGCCCAGCAAGGGAACATCGTACTGCTCACACCAGCTCGCCAGTCCCAGCGATAGTAACCGCTGCACCTCCGGGATCTCCACCTCGTACCTCTCGCTCCCCTCGTCTTCGGGGTCCGCACCCCAGAAGTATTCCGCCGTCGCGACCAGACACCGGTCCAACACAGCAAGAGCTTGCTCACACTCGTGATCTCGCCTGGACAGGTCCAGCAGCCTCCGCTCTGCCGTACAAGACAAAAGGGGGAGCCACAGCTCTCCCGACCCTTCCAGAGAACGCCTCCAGCGCACCATGCATCGTGGGTTCGTTCCTCGCCCTGCGACAACAACGGGAATCTCCATCCCTTCCTCCTCCTCCAGAGGAAACAAAGACAAAACAGAGATAAACGAGGGCTCCACCCCGCGTCCCATCCTGCTTCCCAGCGAAAAGGGAAGAAAGCCAGGAAAATGAACAACCCCTCCCGATCGTTGTTGCGTCCCTCCCGCCGCGCTGCTTGGTTTTCTGCCCGAAAAAAAGAAAGGAAGAAAGATTGGAACTCTGCTGCCAACTTTCAGAAGGGCACAGCCCTTCCTTTGTATCTTCGAATGTGGGGCCAGCGCCACAGCGCTAGGCCCTAAAGGGTAGTCGAACTGGGCCACCAGGCCCCGTTCTCATAGGTCAAACTCTCGTGGAGCAGGCTCCACTCTCGTCAACGGTCAACGCCCATCTTACAAGTGAATCATACAGAGCTCGCACCAAATGCTCGCTAGATGGGCGTTCTGATTCGTCCAAAGGCCAAATTATTCCCTGTCGTATCCACTTTGGTCAACGAACTTCGTTGACGACGACCCCTTGGCTCGCCGTCGCCTCGTCCGTCTGTTGGTCACGCGCCATGCCACCTTCGGCGTCAGCCACGCTCCCACACTCTGTGTTTGTTGTTGCATAGCCATGGTTTCTCTCTGTGAGTAGAAAATATGATTTCATCATTCACTCTCGTGTATTAAGCAGCGTCGCTACGCTCGAGCTGCACAGGGCTGCCGCCCCGTACCCCGCCGATCCGGAACTCTAGCCATCTTTTCTGACAGCATGCGGATTAAGTAATAAAAGCATGTTTTAGGACATGCATCGGCACAGCCAAGTGGACTACCCCACTTTTGAAGCTCCACAACCATTGTGTTTCGCACATCTCACGATATTCTCTGGTGTTTTGTTCTACTCTAACCCATTTCATTTCAATCACTCCGCTCCTCTAGTTGTTCTACCTGTTCACTCATCTCATTTCCTGTAGTTCATTTCACTGCTTCATTCCATTCATCATCGTAGTCACTCCGTCGTATTGATCCTATCACTGCACAGTCTACAAGGGAAAACAGATCCTCCGATACAGGCACACGATGCCAGCTTCCGCCAGGCCAACAGGTACCGCATCCCTTCTGCTCAACGAGCTCCGCCCACACATCTATCCACCGCTTCCTGCTGTCGTGCATCCTCCACCTGCTACGGTCCACAAACGGACAACACACTCCCGTCCTCCCACAAGGTCAGAGGGGACACACACCACCATCGAGTGAAGAAGGGAACACTGCCAGTGAACATAACCGCTAGCCCTGCCGGGCAAGCGACTGCTCTGCTCTCCGCTGCATCGCATCTCGAATCATCGGGTGCCGCCACTCATAGCTCACGCCCTCCGTGTCGAAAAAGTCGTCCAACTCCTTCTCGGTCAGCCTCCATGCAGACCCAAGCTGCCGCCCACAAACATAAGGTATCCCCTCCGGACGTCGGCCAGGCACTAGGCAAACCTCATACCCACCTCGCGTGGCAACCAGCTCCGCTACCAGACACAGAGCACCCCGCTGCTGTACCATCTGCTCCAGAAGAACGTTCTGCGCCTCGCCAGCCAAAGCAAGCGAGGACCTACCCGGCTCCACCCCGACGAGAACACTCGTCAGCGCACTCCACAGCTCCAGCTGCTGCCCCTGCGGGACAACCACCGTGTGAGGACAACCCTCCAACGCGTCCAACAAGGACGGCGTGGCAAGGAAGGGAATCACCTCGTATCCACGAAACTGCCTCTGCTCCCATCGGATCTTCTCCATCCTGGACAACAACGCCGCGCGGTTCCATCCTCGCGTCAAACGCTTCTCCAGCGGCACCATCTGCACATCGGGACAGTACCGTCCCCTCTGCTCCTCCGGCATCTCTGCCAAGATCAGGGCCCACGCTGCGTGGGACCATACCACCCAGACCTCCGTCTGTCTCTCCGGCTCCCCCATCTCTGCCCTGTCGTGCATCGCCTGCATCCTCTCCTCTGTCGCGTACTATCGTCCCTGACTTCCCGTAAAAGGAAGTAAAGTAACAACTCACCTCCGTTGGTTGTCTCGTCCCTGCTGTCGCTCCGCTATCGTTTCCCCCGGGGAAATGAAGAGGAAGAAAGAGAGATCCTCTGCTCCTTCTGGGAAGGGTGCACACCCTTCCTTTGTACTTTCCATGTGGGAGAAAGTGTGCCCACTTTCATCCCTTTTCGGTAACGGAACTGGGCCACCAGGCCCCGTTCCTATAGGTCAGCCAGTCGGGGTCCAAGGACCCACTCTGTCAACGGTCAACGCCCATCTTACAAGTGAATCATACAGAGCTCGCACCAAATGCTCGCTAGATGGGCGTTCTGATTCGCTCAAATCGCGAAATATTCCCTGTCGTATCCACTTTGGTCAACGAACTTCGTTGACGACGACCCCTTGGCTCGCCGTCGCCTCGTCCGTCTGTTGGTCACGCGCCATGCCACCTTCGGCGTCAGCCACGCTCCCACACTCTGTGTTTGTTGTTGCATAGCCATGGTTTCTCTCTGTGAGTAGAAAATATGATTTCATCATTCACTCTCGTAGTTATTCGCCACGTCGCTACGCTCGTGTGGCACAGGGCTGCCGCCCCGTACCCCGCGGTTCCGGAAAAGAAGTACCTCTTTTTAAGGAATTTATCTGCACAAGCAGGGTAAAAGCATGTCTTAGGACACGCATCTTGGTGGGGCAAAGTGAGGCCCCCCACTCTTAGTGTTTTACAGATCTCACGATCCTTTTTGGTGTTTTCCACCCACTTTACTTCGTCTCATTTCATCATACACTCTGTTCAAGTCATTCATCATTCCATGCTACAATACATATTGATCGCATCACACATGCGCTGCATCACAAGGCTTCCTGCTCCCCTGGCCGCCGTAGTTCCACGTCTGCACTACTCATTTCTCCCCATGCTTGTTGCGCAATCCTGCCGCCATCTACGGGAGGACACAACAGGGTGTCACGTACTCTAGAACGCAAGCCTACCAGTGCAGTGCTGCCTGACACCACTGGCCAAAAGTGTAGCCCACAGGGCAGTTGGAAAACAGAAAACTACATAGCGGTACCCTCGCGACAGAAGTCGGACGCATGTTCCACGACAAGGTCAGAAAACACCTTCGCCTGCTGCTGTAGGTGCCAGGAACGTAGCGCTGCCCCAATCACCGCCACTGAACGAATGGCTTGCACCAAGCTCGCCAACATCCATGTCTCCAAGGTGCCCCTCTCTGCACGCTCGGCCAGAAAGGGCCGATGATCTCTCACCTCCATCCGGCTTCCACCGGAATCGTGCGACGTACACGTCGAAACAGAGAGCATGGTCTGCTCATCCAAGAACCCACGCACTGTCGCGCCCCGCTCCCGGACTCCCATCCGTATCGCCGCCCACTCGGACGAAATCGACATCACGTCCCTCCACGACTCACCTCCGACGCGTCCCCGCGGAAGACTGCAACGCCTCCATCCCCACAGGGGAATGTCATGCTGCCGAGACCAGCTCGTAAGGAGCAGCGACAACGCCCGCTCCATCACTCCGAGATCCACTCCTCCCAGAGTGTACTGACAGTGCAACTGCAACCGGAGATCGCGCACCGCCCGATCAACCATCTCCTCTTCCTCCCGAAGTCGAGCCAGCGCAGCCAGCGTATCCGCCGTGCATCCGACAAACCAGACCTGCTCACGCATCAGCCTCTCCTCCGCACCGAGGTCTGTCCCTTCCCGGGAATCATGCGCCTGCCCAGTCGCACATCTGCCACCAGCCTTCCGGCGTCTCGAGACATCCTCTCGTTCTAACCGCTCCCCCACTCGCTTCAACCTCGTACGCATCGGCCCTCCCGGCGCCATGCCTCACGACTGAAAGGCCACAAGCCTGCTTCTCCTCCGGAAAGAAGGAAAAGAACTGAAGTGCACAACGATCCCCCTGTTGTCAGTCCCTGCTGTCGCTCTGCTGTGTTTCTGCCAGAAAAAGAAAAGAAGAAGAAATGAAATCCTCTGCATTCTTCCAGGAGGGCTCCCGCCCTCCTTTGTAGTTTGCCATGTGGGAGAAAGTGGCCCACTTTCGTCCCTTTTAGGTAACAGATATGGGCCAGCAGGCCCATCTCTGATAGGGTAGCAAGAGATGGAGCGAGGCTCCACTCTGTCAACGGTCAACGCCCATCTTACAAGTGAATCATACAGAGCTCGCACCAAATGCTCGCTAGATGGGCGTTCTGATTCGTCCAAAGGCCAAATTATTCCCTGTCGTATCCACTTTGGTCAACGAACTTCGTTGACGACGACCCCTTGGCTCGCCGTCGCCTCGTCCGTCTGTTGGTCACGCGCCATGCCACCTTCGGCGTCAGCCACGCTCCCAGCTTCCAGCGTTGTTGTTGTTATAGCCATATGTTCTACTAGTAGTAACAGCATTCATTCTTCATGTCTCTTCGAGTTATTCGCCACGGCTGCTGCGCAGCTAGTGGCACAGGGCTGCCGCCCCGTACCCCGCGGTTCCGGAAAAGAAGTACCTCTTTTTAAGGAATTTAGTGGTACCAGACCACCAGCATGCTTGAGCTTACACGCATCGGCCCACATGAGGCTGTACTCTCGTACTGTTTCACGCATCTCACGATTCTTTCTGGTGGTTTGTTCTACCACCACACATCTCATTTCATTCAGTCATTCATTCCATCACCCTGTTTGTTCATGCACTCATTTCATTTCGTTTCATCGTTCAAGTTCATGTACCCAGTCATTTCATTCCACTGTTGCTATTGAAGCTGAGGTGCCGCTGCACCAGTTGTCATCACCTGTGACGACAGAAAAGTGCACTAAACTACCGCGCACTCTGGGCCTCCAACCCCTGCTCGTTTATTGCCTCCACCAAAGAGAACATGGAATCCTCTGCGGCATCTCCGTACTGCTGAAGCTCTGGCGACTTCAGAACGTGGGCGATCTGGCGGATCACCTGGACATGATGCCAAAGCACACCGACCGTAAACTGCACCCCAGTGCCATGTCGAGTAAGCACATGGTACAACCAATCCTCCGAAGCTGCCTCATACTCCGTGACCTCGGCACAGGCACATCTCAGAGAGGAGAGACCTCCGCGCACACTGCGAACCATCGCCTTCCAGCCCTCCTGACCAGACAAACGCTCACGCCCTCGCTCGTCCCCGAACGCGTGCATCGTAGCCAAGTGCTTTCCAACCAGGCCGACATCTATGAG